GACAGAGTCCTAGAGATCTACATCCTCCTTCTCAAAGCCTAGTTAGCATTTTCCCAGCTTGGGAAGAAGGTGAGAGGGCTCTAGGATCCTGCCAGAGCCTCGAGCCTCATTTACCTGGCTTTGGGAAGGCAGCGGAAGGGCTGTGGGGTTGTGTGTGTCAAATGTTGCTGAGGCTCCCGCCCCCCAAAAGGCCTCAAGGGCGGTGTGAGGTTCTTGGGCCACACCTTGGACCATTCTGCTCTAAGTGGTTTGGCTCTGGGCAGCCCTGTAGCCAGTGTGGGGCAAATGGATGCACAACTACCCAGAGCTATTCTCTCCTCCCCCCTCCCCCCCTGGATATTTTTGGGAAATTGTCTCATAAATATGTGACATTGTCCCACCACAACATGACACACAATGACACCTTCCATTTAAAGAATAACAGTCCAGTGACATCTGGAGGGCTAAGGTTAGCCATCCCAGGTGTAAAACTGACCCAAGAGGCCTTGAGTACTGATGACTAGATTGGTCATACTTATATTGCTTATACTGGACATCTGCTCTGTTGTTTGTGTGTTTTAAATGGTTCATTTTATATGGTTTACTTGTTTTTAGATGCATTTATTTTTATATTTTATTGTAAACTGCTATGAGTACTGTTTCTGCCACATATATATCTGACAATGCAGCTGCCTGTTATATGTGTGGGATTATGAAAATACCACAGTAGCAATTATAAGACCATTTGTGACCAGCTAGTATTGATCAATGACATTTATCGGTCTTATGAAGTATGCAGATTTAAAGAGATGGCTTAACTGGATGGCACACTCAATTCCAATATTTCTTTGCTGAAAATAGGGATGTCCTATTCCAATAATAATAATAATAATAATAATAAATATTCTACCCATCTGGCTGTGTTGCCTCAGCCACTCTGGGTGGCTTCTGACATATATAAGAACACAATAAAACATTTAAAAAACTTCCCTATACAGGGCTGCCTTTAGATGTCTTCTAAAGGTTATAGAGTTACTTATCTCCCTGGCTCGGGGGGTTGCATAACTCCATACCCTCCAACATTTATCCGAAGAAAAGAGGAAGGAAAAGTGAGACATTCCAGGATCAAATCAAATCCGAATCGGGGATGGCTTCTGTAAGTCCAGGACTGTCCTGGAGGTGTTCCATGGTGGTGTGGACCAGGTCCTTCAAAGCAGGGGCACTTGCCCAGTCTCACACATTGTCCATTGACAGGCACTCCCATTAGCCAAAGCTCTGTGCACTGGCACCAACTCCTGGGGGCCCAGGCACCCACAATTTTGTGGCTGTGGCCGTCCAGCTGCTGCCACTCCCCACCACCACCCCCTGCCATCGCCTTACCTCTGGTACACTGGCACCATGGCACGAATGATCTGGGGCTTGTCCCTCTGCCGTGGGACCTTTGTTGGGGCCTGCTGTGGCCACGGGTGTGCTTGCAGGGTCCCCGGCGGCAGCGGGCCTCAACAGAGGCGCGGTGGAGGTGCAGGCTCCAGCCCCATCACCACTGTGGCACCATGATAGTGCGTCTGCAGCCGCCACAGCATCATGATAGTGCCAGGCCACACAATCATGATGGCACAGCATGACGGGATGTCACGACATTGTAGCATAGCGCCTGTGCGCAGGGCACCCACATTCAAGGGCCCAAGTCCGCACTGCTGGCTCTGTGCAAGGGCTTCTGCTTGAGCAACAGGGAGGAGAGGGGGGAATCGTTCCATCTGCTAAGCTGACAATGTTTGTAATAGCATGATGTGGAATTCCACCCACTGTTTATTTTCTTGGATTCTTAAAAATATATTATTTCTCCAGGCTTTCCAAGAAGGATCAGTTTATTCACTGGCAGTATTTGACATTTTTCTGATAACTGCTTTCTTTGTTTTTACTTCTTCTTTTTAATTGTAAACGGGTGGGGACTAATTCTTCCTGCTCACCCTGATACCTTGTGTGGGAGTCAGGCTCTGTGTCAAGCTTCAGTCTGGTTCACCTGGTGGCGATGGGGGCCACTAAGACCCTACAGAGCTCCATTCTGCATAGTCATATGCCGTATATGTACATCTAAATAGCCACATCCCAAGCCCTATTTCTTGAGGTCAATTCTGTGAGACAGAAGGTGTATGAGAAGCATTTCACACCTGCAGGGTTCCACGTGGTGTGGCAGCTCAGAGCTTTCAACTTACCCCACTTCATGTTCTGTTTTCATGTGGCAAAAGACCAGGGCCTGGTTGTGAACACATGCCAGGCCATAGGGAACTCTGAACAGCTGATTGCTCTCTGTGTGCCCCACATTTTATATAAACTGGCTGTCACCTGTGCTTGCATGTGACACCAGAGGCTGATGCGCATGCAAGTGTAATATAATCTAATTGCTTTCTTTTAATGTCTTTAGGCAACAGCAGCCTTGGGAGAATATTTTCTCCTTGGGTAGCCCATAAGAGCTGAATGAAAGAAAGGATACTTATCTCTTACAAAATATGGAAAATTAGAGAATATTGCAATAATTGAACTCCCATTTCTCTTGATATATTAATACAAGGGGGGAAAGCATTAATCACAGGCCTATTTTAGTACATATGAGGCTGTGCTTTTGGCATGACAGCCCACAGTGGATGCCAATTTCCCCCCATTAAAAACTGACTCTGAATGGTTGTTAGGCTATTTTCATTCCCAAGAGAGAGATGCTGCTTGCAGAAAAGCAGTCACCCAAAATAATTATAATGCTTTCAGATGAGAAGTTTCCTTTCATTATACGTTATCAATATTATTGAATCTCTTTCCTGTAATTAGAGCCACGGGACTAACTCTGGGACTAAGAGAGATAATAGCATGCAGACAGAAAACTTGCGCTGAAGCTCTACAATTTTTGGTCAAAAAGTTTACATTACCAGAACAGCAGTGTGAATGTTGTGCCTATACTGAACGATGAACCATCCTAGGTTGATTTCATTAGGTATTCCCTTTAAGTGTTATAGGATTGCTGCTTAATGCTGCAAGCTTAAAGAGCACTGAAGGAAAAGAAGGCATCAGGCCTTACGGAACAGCCTTGCAAACAAGCTCACAAAAATTTCTGGTCCACAACTTTTACTGGCCTATCTCCCAACATGTACCTAAATTAGCTATTTGTGGTACATGTTGACAGTCTGGAAGAAAATAAAGAGCAAATTGCATGTCTGCTTGCTTACCATAAGTCTAGACTAAGTGGGTGTTGGTTGAAAAACTTGCTTCAGAATGCTTTGCTCAGCATTTGCTAGGCAGCCGCCATGCGGCTTGGAGGTGTCAAACGCTCAAATCAACACATGTGGCATCCACAAAAACTTTTATATGGAAACTGCCTAATCCTGAATCGTCCCCCCTCTAAATATGTCCTGTGCATGCTGGGGAGGGGAGGTTTGTAGATTGCCATTTTTCCTTGACCTGCTAGTTGTCTGTGTGCTTTAGTTTGCAGTTTCTCTGTGCACACCCTGCTCCTTCATTCTGATGTGGTAAAAGTCCAAGGAAAGCTACATCATATAGATTGTAGCAGGGCCGTTTTTCAGCTGGAACTTACCAGAACTCAGTTCTGGCACCTCTCAGGTGAGTGCCATTATAAGAGAACAAGGGAGGTGTTCATGGTGAGTTCTGGCAGCAAAGGTAAAAGGTAAAGGACCCCTGGACAGTTAAGTCCAGTCAAAGGCGACTAGGGGGTGCAGCGCTCATCTCGCTTTCAGACTGAGGGAGCTGGCGTTTGTCCACAGACAGGTTTCCAAGTCATGTGGCCAGCATGACTAAACCGCTTCTGACGCAACAGGACACTGTGACGGAAGCCAGAGTGCACGGAAATACCATTTACCTTCCTGCCCCAGCGGTACCTATTTATCTACTCGCGCTGGTATGCTTTCGAACTGCTAGGCTGCAGGAGCTGGGACAGAGCAATGTGAGCTCACCCAGTCACAGGGATTTGAACTGCTGACCTTCCAATCGGCCCAAGAGGCTCAGTGGTTTAGATCACAGCGCTGAGGGAGCAGAAATGTAATGGGAGAGTAGAATTATTATTTTATCAGTTTCAGTGTTTTATATTATTAAATATAGTTGTCCATTTTCCTTTGTAAACTGCTTCATGGGTTGTTAAATAAATATTCTGCTGCATGTGTGGTTCAGCTGTGGAGGCAGGCCAGCCACCTTAGCAGTTGTCTGAAGCTGCCTCTGCCATTAAATGAAATTGCTTAGGAGTTGGCAAATCGACTAAATCATGTTGGAGCACATCTGCACAGCGGTTTCTGAGGAGACCAGACAGGCACCCAGTGCATATCCATTCCAGTCCCTGGAGTTCATATTTGCTTAGTGCTTCATCTTGATCGACTGCCTCCAGTTTTGCCTGTCATTCCACACACAGCCTGTTTACCATTAGTCAAGGGAGTCAGGCAGCAGATTTTGGAGTACCATTAAAGGGCAGCAAATTGTCATATATTTAGTTTGGTGCTATGCCACCGTATGGAATGCTGTTTGGGTTTTTATTTTTTATTTTTGCCTCTGACTGGCTTCAAATGTCTTGTGCTATCAAACATCTGGTTTACTGTGTGCCTCTGCTGAAGTTAAAGCTTCAGGAACCAATATGTACTCACCCTTTGTCACTAAGCTGGAAAAGCAAATGCGACAAAATCCATTCTACTTTATGATTCACTTGTTGTCATGGTCAATGCTAGATGCTCAATGCCATTTTAATGCAGTGTATGCTTTACAGAGACATTGTCAGGTGAGTCTGTGCAAACCTTGAAACGCAAGGAGAGTACAGATTTTTTAATCCAAAAAACGCTACTGCGGGAAGCCACCCCCCGCCCTCTACCACCACAGCATCACACCAGAGCTTGTAATCGGCTGTGTATTGTGCACAGTGTTTGAAGGACACAGCACCCCATGATAACACTGATTCAAATGCATTTTCAGCCTTGCTCCTTTTTATCATCAGAACCTTGTTTCCTTATTCTTCCTTACATGCCCACCCCCCCCCCAGGAGAAAGTTTGACCTGAAATATTTGCTCAATATCATGACACAGCAGGTGTCTACATAGTCTATTTTAAGCTGTGTTTCTTAGGTAATAGAATACAACATCTGCATATACACATAAAACTGAGCATGCTGCTGTATTGGAAGAAGAAAAATATATGCTGCATAATGTCTAATATCTATATACTCACACACATAAACCGCTCTCCAAGACTAGGATTTTCATCTGGGATAGATTTTCTCCTCTAAACAGGTCCCCTTCAAAGAGGGTCCATATGTCCTCTTATTGTTCACACAGCACCAACATCAATCAGTGAATAATAAATAACAGTCAGTGGTAAGGATGATAAATAGCATTATGGTGGAGTTCAGTGCCACTTTTATCCATTGGTGCATGAAAGCAGGAAAATGATAATTCTCTGGCATGTTTTGTACAGCTGCCACTTTGGAACTTAGATGGGCTTCCGGTTTCTTTAGGAGAAGCTTTGCAGGTTCAGTTTCTCACACTCATTCCTGCACCACTTTATTTACCCTCCTTCTCTTACCCACTTTGGTGTGAGAGACATCATATTGCATAGTGGAGTTGCTGGGGAGGAAGGGATTATGAATGGAGTGAGGAGATGCACCAGGTCATCTGAACTCGTCTTGGTTCTGCTTAAATTTAGAGCTTTTCACAAAATATAAATCCACTCTGCATACTGAGATGGCAACCTTACCAGGAGATTGGCCATCCTTTTATTTATTTCTCTTACCACCAGTATCACAGGGGTATTCCTACAGCACAAATTGATAATTGTATCTACAACACTTGAACAATTTCCCAGAGGGAGCCTAAGAACTAATATGTGAGGGTGCCAATAAGTTTTAGCATCCTAACAGATCTAGTTGTAGAGCTAGTTCTATTACTCAAGGGCAGGAGGACCCCAACCCATATATGAAGGAGGTTTCATGTTTTTGGCTTCTTGGACAATGACCTTTGCCTCTTTATACTGGCAGTAAGACAAGTGTATTCACAGTTCTTTGAAAGGGCCATCCATGAAATAAAGAAGCAAGAAGAAGTAGATTTCAGAAGGAGTACACTGCCCACTCCCTGCTTCTACTTCCCATCCCTGCATGCTGTTCAAAAAACCCCAAACCCACCCACCAGTCTTCAGAACAAAGTTGGAGCAGGAGCTTAAAATGCAAAATATCTGAGACTTACAATGACAGTATAATTTAGATGGCTGTATATAGAGGGGCAAGGGATAACACTAAAGGGGCAGAGACTGTTTCAAGATCACATCAATACAAATCCAAGTAAAAAGGAGCTGTGTTGTTCTCTTTTCACATAGGAGCTAGCCTGAGTCCTGTGCATTATACCACAGCTTTAACTCTCCCGTATGCCCCAGCTCCAACAGCCTATCAGAGTGTTGTCAAAGAAGGTCTTTTCAGTGGTGGCTTCCCAGTCATAGAACTTGATTCCAAGTGAAATCAGGCAAGCCCATCTCTCCTTAATTTTAAATAGACCTTGGGTCATCTTTTTATCATGGACATCGGAAGCTAATCTAGGACACTGCTTTTTAGGGTTGAGTTATTTTTCTTTTTTCTGTGGTAGGTTGGCCTATATAACTTTTGGTGGTACTGGATATTATGTTTGAATGGGTTTTATTGTTGGATTTTATTATGGCTATGTATTGTGAACCTCTTTGGGATACAGTTTTGCCTTAAAAGCAGTCTGAAAACCTATTGAATAAGGCAAGGAAAATAAATAACTGCCTGAACATACAGGGGAAAAGAGATGTAGAACCTTCTTGTCAGGGTTCGTCTGGATTTGAATTCAAAACTTTCTTATCAACAGGCTGGTTGCCCCTTGTGATAAGCTATTCCGGGTGGTAAAGCGAAGGGGAAACTGGTTGTACCATCCATCTCAAGCCTCCACTTTGCCCCCCCTAAAACAGATTTGGTTTTATTTGGCCAGGCTGTAAATCACTCCAGGCCAAGTCTAGAGCCTTGTCTGTCTTGCCTCTCCCTTTTTTAGACATCTGCTGAGGCATACATCTGCTACCTGCTGGTCTATGTCCTTCTGGCTGACCAGTTACTGCAATTTGACTGTCCTTTCTGCATGGTGCCTTGCACCTCTGGCCGCCTGCTTCTGGCGCTTCTCGACAAGGCCAGCCTCTGACCCTCCAGATGCTCTTTCTGGATCTGCTTTGTGGTCCAGCACAGATGACTATTTACCGACTAGCCTAGTGTAGTAAAGGAATTAGGAAGCCTGGCTTCACGACCAGTGAATTCAGCATAAAATGTAGTTCAGATGTTATGTTCCCGAAAACAGCACCACCTACGAAGTGTTTCAGTGTTGTGTGTGTGCATTTGCTAAAGTTAAAAATATAGGTGTCTGCTCACACACGCACACACACAAGGATCCAAAGAGAGCACTGGACTCATGCTGAGACATGTTTTACACACACACATACAGCCCAACTCTTCATGCTTCTTCCGCTCCCCCTCTCATTCTACCGCTGTTGTAACACCAATGAACTTAATTTCACATACGGAAATGGATTTGGCTGGTGCAGGAAGCTCATGGTATCTAAGGAGGGGAGTCTCCATCTCTGCTCTAGCTGAGCCTCCTCTGGGTTTGAGACAGCAGGTCTGTATACATTTTTGACCTTAGGAACCTGGGGTAAGAGTCTTTTTCCATAAGGCTGTGAATTTTGCCCTGGGCCTGGTCAAAGCACGTTGGTGAGGGCTCCTGTATGTTCCGTCTTGTCACCTCTCGGGTCTGGAAGTCTATGTTCACCTGAGAAAGAAACACAAATGTAATTTGTGTGAGGCAGCAGGGGCAATTCTTCACTTCCCCCGCCCTCCATCCACAATCAAATACAGCATTTTTGTCACACTGTCAAATGTAATTCATCACTTTTGAGCTGAAAAGCAAACCTGGAGTACATCTGGCTCGATGAAACATGCGCAGCCATGTAGAATTTCAGCTGGCATTGTCAACTTTTAATTTTAACCAAACTGGCCAAGGGGTGAGGTAGATTTGGGGGCAAAATCAGGTTGAAACATATTGAGCCAAGTGCAATGATGGAACTTGCCAAGTGAAAGACGCAGCAAGCTGGATGAGTAGGTAGGCAATGAAAGAACCAAGGCTGGACCACATCTGAGATGCATTGGTTTCTCATATTTTAATACTGATCACCTGACAAACAGGCAGTAGGATCATTAAAATATTGGGCATCTGGTAACCCAAGTTTTAGGATCCTTCTCTAGATCAGCAAATTACAGTAATTTCTGAACTGCCTAACCTTTATTGTAATGTCATGAAGCATATTTCTGTGCATATTTGAAATATGAAGCATATTTCTGTGCATGTTAGTGCATATTTGCTGGGGAGCAAGTCCTGCTGTATCCATGTTATTCCATTCTATCCCTTACAAATACCCTTTGGAACTTGACATCTATCAAGTTTTAGGTCTGAGTGCATATCTAAACCCAAGTGGCTGTAGCTCATGCCCACTGTATTATGCTGCACCAGAAGATGGGAAGTCAAATGTTCTTGCAACTATACAGTCATATGGGAAAGACATTGCACTTCTGCTGTGGGCTCGCTTATGGAGATGAAGCCCATCGCTTCTTTTTCCTTAGACATTTTCACGGAGATTCAGCCGCCACTATTTTCTGCTGTAAATCAGGAAACTCGGAGTCCTTCCAAGATTAGGGCATTTGATCTCCTCTCCTGCTGATAAGTAGTTGGTAGATTGAGTCGAGCTGGAGCTAATTAAGGCTTTCTCCGAGACTTTCCAGGGCTTTCTCTAAAACTTTTAGCCTAAACTTTGTGATTATAGTAATTAAGAAAAAAATACCAAGCGATAGAATACTAGAACTGATAAAAGCTAATAAAAAGCTGATAAAACTAATAAAAACCGCACGACTGATGCAGAGCTCAAATCAATGCTTCCTCTAACGACACCCATGTGGAAAAGACTGTGGGTAGCCTTCTTCTCTGCAGAGAGGGATCCCTGAATGGCTGTTAGCTTCTATATCCATCCAACCATGGCTTAGTGGTATGTGCAAACATTCCAGGGGTGAGCACACATTGCCTGATTTCCCCCCCAGGTTATAAACTGTGGCCCTATGTTGTGTATTTTTGTGTTTTTATTCTGTAAACTGCCCTGTGAACCTCCAATGAGGGGAGGTATAGAAATAGATACAAACAAACAAACAAATAGACTGAGGTTCCACAAGTGGCCCCCAATCCTAGGAAGATTGGTGCGTGGTGGGTTCTCTGCTGCTCTCCACCACCCTTGTTTCCAAGATCCATCCTGCCAGAATAACAGTTTCTTGCATCTACTAACCTCTCGTGGTGCTTGCACATCAATAAATTCTTCAAAAATTCTGTGTGCCTTGGAAGCCAGCTTGGCAGTGGACCGTGTCTTTTTGAACTCCTCGCAAGCCAGCCAGAATTCCAGGTTCTCTTCACTGAACTCAGTCTTTAGGAATGCACGAAACGCAGCCACTCCATCTGAAAAAAGGGGAAACTGTTTAAGGCTTGAATGTGTGAACCATTTTCAATTTTTAGGGGTTTGTTGCTGTTGTTCCATTCTAATGAAATGGAACCATAGGTTCCACCTAACGACCATAGGGAGGGTACCAACATTTTGCAATTTATCTACGAAATGATGTTTGGGCTTCCCCCCTCAATATTTCATTTTGTGCAGCATATTTTTAAGAAGATAAATGCATCATGGAAAGCCCAGTTGGTGTGTGAGCATTCTGGAGACACACACACTTAAATTTGGTATGAGAGTGGGGAATTGTGGTGTCATTCAGCTCCTACTGCTAGCACTAGACTTCAGGTCCAGCTTTTTATGTACTGTTGTTCCTATGAAGCATCTTGAAGCAATTTCACAGTCCAGTGAAAACATATATAAAACAAATGCATATATAAATGAGTTCCAACAGTTGTATATATAAACAATTGATATCCGATGCAAATACCAAATGCAATAAATGCTGGGAGTGCATTAATTTTAAAACTTTGTACCATCAGGGAACCCTTTCTATTATTTACTCATGTATTTAAAACATCTGTAATTCACCTTTCTTCAATTAACTCATCAAGGCAACTTGTCTGCTGAGGAATTCCCATATGTGTTGCAGAAGAGCTTGCAAAATATTTTATCGTGATTGCTAATCACACACTTGGGCCAAAGCAGACATGAAACTAAATGCATCACTGGAATTGTCTTTTATCCCCCCCCCCCCCAGTTAATAGGTGTTTCTCACCCCCACCCCACTGTCGTCTCACTAAGACTGTAATGTGTTGGGGCGGGATTAACCTTCCCGCTTGGGTCAAGGGTGGAAAGGATTGAAGACCCTTTTGCAGTATACCTGTTAACTACTGTATATGTATTTTGTAAAAAGAGAGCAATTTTAAGTGAGATTAGTGTTGTGTCCAGTTTAGCCCTCTGTTCACACCATGGCTACCAGCTAAGCTTTTGGTCTCATCACCAATAACAGTAATGGTGGGGTAGCTCTCTTTCAAGGAGACTTGTGTGCCATTTTTACTACCTCACTGAGGAACTCCCAAGAAACCTGTTGAGCTGCCTCGAGTCCATGTTGTTACAGAACAAGGGTGCCTAACCAAATAGCTTCATTCATTCTTGGTCTAAACCCTGGATCCAGCAAGTGTTAGAATTTAATCAAGGCTTGGGGTGTTAAACTGGGTGCCAGACCCCTCTAATCCCTGGATCCTTCAAGTGTTAAAAACTAATCAAGTCAAGCTAGCCTCTTGGTAAGGTGTAAGGAGAACAAAGAAAAGGACTCCTTAAAAAGAAATGCTTCCTTGCATTAAAAACTCTCTGTAAATGGAAAACCAGCACACAGGCAAAGAGTTGGACTAGAACTTTTCATACAGGTGCATCTAAAGAGGGGTTTTGTGGGGTAGGGGGGAGTTTAATGAGGGAGTGTTTAGAAAAGGTATCTCCTCCTAAGCGCCATAGCATGGGTTGCCGGTGCCTGGGGGTGGGTGGGAGAGAGTAAAACGGATGGAGTATACATGCACATTCAACTGCCTAACGGTGTCCGTATCACCCAGCTGCAGAGATAAGAAAAGAAGAGTCGTTTCATTGTCTGGAGAAGTCACTTCCTGATTTGCATGGAGAAGCCATTTTCAATGGACTCCAGCTTACAGAAGCACTCAGCTATGCTGAGGCAGAACTGGCTGCTCAAATTTTGCGCCCCCTAACAATTTTGTGCCCTGGGCAACCACCCCTGTGCCCCCCATGCTACGCCACTGCTTCTCCTCATCTGTATTCAGAAACTGTATAGTCCACTCAATCACCACAGCATCCCCTCACGTTGTGTGGCACGTGCAGGCCCAGGCAACCATGACTACCCCTCAAGGTTTGAATTGAAATGCGGCATAGGAGAGGACTGGGGAAACAGCTCTCTGCACTCCATAAGACTAAACTGCCCTGCTCATTATAAGCTCATGACAAAGGACATATTTCTCATTGTATTTAAACAGCCATGACTCCAAGGCCTCTGAATGAGCTTCTGGTTGAATGGGAGTTTATGCCCAGGTATACCATTTGCAACCCATCAGCTATTTAGGACACATTTGTAATCTCTATTTATGCATGAGGGTGATCATCCTCTTTCTAATCATTACCACTTTCATAAAGATTGGCAGAGGAGAGCACAATGCGCTTGCTGCTGGCTTTAGGTAGTTAGTGAAAGTGCCCTTATCTCTTTGGTGCTTAGTAACTGTGCCAGGGTATCTTGGGTTATATGTTATAAATAGAGAGAAGGCCCGCTAACACTATTGTTTGCTTTTGCTGCTCAGTAGGAGAGTACTTTGGAGGCAACAGTCTTCTGTAAGAGAACAGTCCCCTGGAAGAATCCTCTTATCTGAAGAGCTGTCCGGTCCAAGGCTTATATTAAGATAATGAAACCTAAGAAGGAGAGTGTTGACGTTTCCCATCAGTAGACAGGTATGCATGCCGCTATGGGGAAATGTATTGTATTTCTATTTAAATTATAATAATTATGTCTGAATCTGCATCTATGCATAAAATAAGCACATTCAAATTTTATGCAAATTGTTGTCCTCTTTACAGCAGTCACTAAATATGATGACCCTGATCCAATTAAAGTTAGCTCTGGTTCCCAGAGAGGTAGTAAATCTGTGTCTGGCCAGTGCAACTATTAAGAGTACTGGAGGAAGGATTAAACCAGTTATCTTGACCCATTTCAAATCCAGCTTCCACTCTGCTTTTGGCACTAGGATGGCTTTGGTTCCTCTTGTTGATTACTCATATCAGGAGATGGTGTGCCTGTTTATTCTCCTTGATGTCTCAGTGGCTTTTGATACCATTAACCATGGTATCCTCCTGGCTCAGAAGATTGGGGTTGGAGCCATGGTGATACAGTGGTTCTGCTCCTACCTTCTCTAGAGAATAGCATTGGGTGACGAAGGCTCAGTACCATGGCAGTTGTACCAAGGGCTGCAAATGCCCCATCTTGTCCCCAGTGCTTCTTAACATCCATATGAAGCTGTTGAGTGCTGTCACCAATAGATTTGGGGTTTGGTGTCATCATTATGTGGATGACACTGAGCTCACTCACTCTATATGCCATCTGGACCCAGTGAAGCTGGATTGGTGCTGTATCGGTGCCTTAAAGTGGCAATGGGCTGGATGAGAGCCAAAAAACTGAATCAGAATATGTTGTTGTAGGCACTGTCTTAGGCCAAGGAAGGTCTTGGTGGATATTTAGGAAGTGCCAAATACGTTCCTAAGCCACTCCAGGCTGAATCCTTTGCCAACACTTGCCTACTCCCTGACATAGTGACCTTGAGCTCAATATAGCACAGAGTGTGTCTGATGGCCCTGAATAGCTTGGAGTTTTGTTAATGGCAGCAGCAGGCTAGCATGCACTTGTGCATTAAGACAAGCAGATAACATGAGAATGCTCCCTTCATCTGCCCCACAATTCTCTTTCAACCTTTCGTGTTTTAGAATCGCTGGTTTGTTTTGAAATTCCGTGACTCCTTGTAAGATATTATAGGTATGGGTCACTTTTAATATTATGAGACTCTGTGGTTTAGAACCAACATTAAGTCCTGTGCTTTCTTCCTACATATGATCCAAGTTCTCAATTTTTTATTTCAAGGTCTATCCACTGCAAACAAAGCCCACTGTTTACAGAGGCAACCTGGAAAGTAGCAAAAACCTCACTTCATTAGGGAGCTATGTTATTACTAGCCTTGGTTTTTCCAATCCCATAGCTTTCTTAGCATTTGCCTTTTGGGAATGAGCCCCCCCCTTAATAATAAATGTAAACAGCTTTTTATCATGTGTTCACATGTGTTCCTTTCCCTTCTCTTCCAATGTCTGCTCTCAGACATCCTCACTATTTACACTGACTTTTCCGGAAACAGGCTGCTTGCCAGAGGACGTGAGAAACTGAGCAGACTTGGCCAGAAGCTCTTATGAAAGAAGAGCGTTTTCTCATGATGGATATGCTGAGAAAGACCTCTTTGCCCCAGAAAGTAACCTAGAGGAAGCAGGGGGCAAGATAAGCAGCTGGAGGTAAAAGATCCCACACAGACCTCTGACTAGCCTCCTGCTCTCAGTTAACTCAGTAGCTGTGCAAAGAAACTAAATTGTGGAAAAGGGAGTGATGCTTGGTGCTAATCCCCAGACATTCAACTCCCGGGTCTCTTCCTCTCTCTCTCTCTCTCTCTCTCTCTCTCTGTTGCATATCCCATCACACATATGACTACCTCCTCCTCTCTCCTGCAATGACATCTAATAGTCCAAAATGTGTAATGCAGTGTCATTGTGCTGAATCATATCATGGAGATTCCACCCAGAGGTGTAGCTCTGGGGAGCCGGGGAGCTGTGTGAACCTACATTTTGCTCCGGAATTGGCAAGCCCACACATTCAGTGATTGAGCTTGCAGTTGGATGTGGCATGTAAACCAGTCAGTGCTTTAAAAACTGGGATGAGTATTTGACTTTTCAATGACACTTGCATTGGTATTTTGAATCCTGGCAGCCACTCAAAACTAACAAAGTTTTAGCATCACCAGATCTGTGGCTAAAATGGGAATTTCCAATAATGTTTTTAATGGGGAGATTTAGTAATGAATCTGAGGGGTGGGAGAGAGAAATTGGAATTGCCAAAGGGCATAGGAGTCGCATGACACGTATACACACATCAGAGACAGAGGGAGAGAGGGAGGGCAAGAGGAGGAAATCTTCCCAAAGCAAGCCAAGGCAATTGAAAGCACGCAGGGTTTTTCCATGTATTGACAGTTGCAATCAGACTGAGGATCTAAGGACAGTCCACCCTGCTAGATGTTGGACAAATGATAAACCACATACCCAGCCCTGTGAGGGATGCAGTGCAAGATATGTTCTTGTTTTGTGTCTCTTCCAGCATTCTGTCAAAAGGAATCTTCATCTGTCTAGCCAGACCATCTCTCCTGGGCAAGAAATATACAGGGAGAACAAGTCCTCTCTCTCTGTTCATGGTCACATCTCTCTCTTCTTCTCCCCTACCTCTTCCTTACTCCTCAGACCAGGATTTAGCATCCAATAAGCTATTATTTGTCCTCAGATGTATGAACACAGAACAGATAACAAATTACAGCATGAGAATAAACTCACAGAGATGTGATCATCTTGATGACTGCAGCAGCAAGTGATGACCAGCATGTGTGAAACAGCCTTTACAAGCCAGTCCCCAGGGACAGACCTTTATCATCAGTTCAAATGCAATTCTGTTCTGGGTCATGCTATCCAGCAGTGCCAAGCAAAAAGAGATTTTCTTTCTAGCCCCTTTCTCTGGAATGGACATCCTTTTCACACCTACATTTTACAGAGCATCTAGATGATGCTGTTGTCAGCCTGCTGTATCCCACTAGTTTCTGTGTCATCCTCCCATATTTTCTTTAGGCCTGATTTGTGGCAATTTTTAGAAATAAAGGGTAATAGCAGCACTGACCTGTCCAGTATGGATGGACCTGGCAAAGCACTATTGAGGTTTTTTAAGGATCCTTTGCAGATACTGTCTGCCTGAAAATACAACTCATTTTATTGCTTCCTGTGGAGCGTAGGTGGAGAATAAGTGGTTAACATATTTAAAAATGACCCAGTATCAGTTTCTCTTTCCAAGGTGGGTGGGTGGAGGATTGCTACCAGTGCTTCCTCTCGTTATTGTCATTGCCCTGCACTAGAAATCCTCAGGTGCAGAGTCCTCATACAGCAGTAGCCCTGAGCAGGAGATGGGTGTGCTTCCTGATCCCAAATACCTGGCAGATACATAAAAAGGGCGCCAGCTCTTGCAGCAGTCAGAAGGCAGGGGGTTAATCATGTCTACCTAATCCACACTACCTAACGCTAACAGTTGCTCCAGGCCTATGCTGAGGCAACTTGCTCTTTCTGTCTCAGCTGTGGGATGGCTATTCCAGCTGCAAACCTACTAAACTCTGCATTAACACCTTGATCCTTGACCAACATCCTGACCTTCTCTTAGTTTCCAGGCTGTTTCCAGAGGCCAACCAATTTCCATCTTGCCTGGGCTTTCACCTCCTCTTCTAGCTGAGGATTGCAATGGACGAGGATAAAATTTCTCTTCTTTTCATTGTTTATACAGTGGTACCTTGGGTTAAGAACTTAATTCGTTCTGGTGGTCCGTTCTTAACCTGAAACTGTTCTTAACCTGAAGCACTACTTTAGCTAATGGGGCTTCCCGCTGCCGCCGCACCGCTGCTGCACGATTTCTGTTCTCATCCTGAAGCAAAGTTCTTAACCCGAGGTAATATTTCTGGGTTAGTGGAGTCTGTAACCTGAAGCATCTGTAACCTGAAGCGTATGTAACCTGAAGTGTGTGTAACCTGAAGCGTATGTAACCCAAGGTACCACTGTATAGTGAAATAGCTGCAATATTACAAGATTATTGTAGCTGTTATAAGAACATGAGCGCTATGAGGCCTCCATATAGTTGTAGGATATTTGGCCACTCACAGTAACAATGACTGATCTTGTTTTTGAAAAGCTGGTTAGCTTTGCCACCAAGACAGGAAATGGATTGAAATACTTGGTTTGCAGATCTCAAAACAGTGTTCACTTCACAGACACCTACAGCTAGGGCAAAAATAGGCTTGCTTTAAAGGAAGACGGCCAAGTATAACAGCCCATGTTTATCAGCATATTTTTCCGATACCTCTCTTTTCACAACTGGGTTATTTCTCTGCTTCTCCTTTTCCTTTCTTTGCTACTTTAAGTTAGGAGTATGCTGGAAAATAGTACTGCTTCTCTCCCCCCCCCCCCAAACCATTATCCATCAATTAGTGATAAAAGAAATTGCATTCAAATACGGCATTATAAAAGGGGAGAGAAAATTTCAGAGGAATTCTCATGGGTGGGGTGCAGGGTTTTTGATGCACTTACTTTACTTTTGAGAGGGCTGAGGAGTGTTTGTGAGTACTCTTTCTTTCTTTCTTTCTTTCTTTCTTTCTTTCACTCACTGGCAGACACAATCCGGTGCTCCCACCACTGCCCACCACACTACCCACCCCAGCCCTGTTCAGTTAAGCTGTAGCAGTGCCAGTGTTGGAAGAGCAGATCCACGGCTTTGCCCCACCACACTGGCCATTATGATGTCTCACCAGTGGTCTGTACTCTGCAGTCCTCCCAGATGCCCACACTTCGACCAAGTCCGGGGGGACGCATAGTGAGGTGTGTCCTCTCATGGGGATTTTTCAGTGCAGGAGCCAGGAAGATGACAGAGTACTGGGGGAACATTTACCGGGACACCCAAACCACCAGCAGCCACCTCAAAATGATAAACTAAGCTCAAAACCCTGCATCTCATGAAATTCTAAAGTGCTCTGAGAACGAGGCAGAAAAATGGAGGCCTCTTTCAAAGAGGGAGAAAGCTTTTGATTAACTGGAGGACAGATATCAGCACAGCTGAAGGTTGCATTTTAAAAGACTGTTTGAATCACACCAGGCTCCTAACATTGTTCCCTAGAATGCTGCCTCATCTTGGTTATGTTCTAAAATAGTGTTTTGAATCATTAGTCTCCAAGGGTTTTCCCCTGGAATGTTGGACTGCCCTGGGAATCTCTGTTGCAATGCCATTTTTTGCATTTTCGGCTTTGGTTGTACCACTGTCACAGACACTTATTGCTGTGATGTCACTATTTTCTGCGCCATAGCTTCCCACTCTGGATTTTTACACGCATTTTTAATGGATATTTGTTTGGTAATCATTTGCAGCTGATTGCATCCCACTGGACCAGCCTACTGCAAGAGAGTGTAGTCATGCAAAATTCAAAATTGGCTATAAGAAGCTACCTTAGACGGAGTCATACTACTGGTTCTCTAACCCTGTGGTTGTAGCTTTCCAAAGCTTCAGGAAATAAGTCCCTCCCCACCTCCAGCTGTCTGGCTACATGAGATTATTTAATCCATCAAAGTATCCTCCTCCCCAAGAGCAATACTCCACTATTTTAGCCGTTTTTCTTTTCTTTGAAATTTCACTCTGTACTGTGCACTAGGGTGTGTAACTCTTGCATTTGAAACACGCAGCAGGGGCATTTGTTCTGCAGCAAGGTCCCACCTTTTCCATTATGTGGGTGTGCTTTGGAAAGGAGGCGTGATATAGAAACAATCCCTGCAGCTAGCTAGAGCAACATACTGCAAGCTCTGAAAGGTAAAAGCTACAGGATATATCCTGTATCAGGAGAAATCTGAACATTCCCAGTGTGATATGTCAGTGAAACAGAACAATATTTTCATGACTAGAGCTGGGATAATTCATTGGTTATAAGTGAGAGAAAGCATGTTGATTATATGGTGTTGGAGATTTTATCTAAAGTTTATATGAAAATTGCAGATTGTGGGTTCCCCACCCCAACATAAATTATATTGTGTAACAACTGAAATAAGTAGCTTTTTCTTACTGAGCAGTGTGGGCGGAGATCTGCAGCCTACATTAGAGACTTGAATGCCCAATTCCCATTCGTTTTAATTAACTTGTTAGGCAGTTTTGAAAAATCTCAAAGCTCATCGTTAAAGCCGGAATTGAAGGGACTGTTGCAGAAAGCCAGACTCGGGTTTCAGGAGGATACCCATTCTCACCAGATGTAACAGCAGATATGAAACTGTGAAACCAGCCAATGCCTCTACGCAGATCCATCCTTATTTCAGACATCATGATATATTGGTATATCACAATGTTTAGCCAGTGATGGATTGCGATGTTCAAAGCCAAATATCACTCAGCCCTAATGCAAGGGAGGGCAGAGTTAATAATGCCAAACTAGACATATCTTCACCCTATTCTCCTATAAATCAGGGCAGGGGTGTGTGGATCTAATTTTTATAGCTAAAGGGCATGATAGTGAGAAGAACCGAACCTTCCCCTTCCTCTCCAGCGTATGAGCCACTGCATACCAGATATGAACATGTTCTGAGGAGAAAAGTGCTCAGAGTGATGGACAGAGCAATCCTAACTCTGGCCAGTGAGCAGAAGGGCCGAACGGAGTGGCAGACCCACCGCTGCATCCAAAGCCCTTCCATCCCATAATGACACACTTTGGGGGGCTTAATCTGGCTGCTGCCAGAAGGAAGTATCAGCAGTAGCTTTCTGACCAAGCATGCTTTTGACGGGTGCAGAGGGGACCTATGGACACTGAACCCCCGCAACCAGCTGAGGGACATCTCCAGTCAATCCTACCCTGCTGCAGCAGTCTGAGTTAGGGAGCAAAGATTGCATCCAAAGTGTGGGAAAGTAAAGCATGGGAGTTGGGGAAGGATCCACTCCCTTTGCCATAATGCCTGTCAGAATTAGCACCCAGGAATTTTCTCCCCACCCTCTACTTTACAAGATCCATGAGCTAACACATATGGCTGCCACTGTCTCATATAGTATGGCCCCTAGATATGCAGAGATCTAACACTACATGAAGACGCTTGCAGAAGAGATGACATGATAAAGGGACCCCTGACCATTAGGGCCAGTCGTGGCCGACTCTGGGGTTGCGGCGCTCATCTCACTTTATTGGCCAAGGGAGCCAGCGTACACCTTCCGGGTCATGTGGCCAGCATGACTAAGCCGCTTCTGGTGAACCAGAGCAGCGGACGGAAATAGCCATCTCCAAATATGATGGGAGTTATAGTCCAACATCTGGGGACCCAACGTTGAGAAGGTCTGCTCCAGAGAGCAGGACCCAATCCAGTGAGTTCAAATTACAAGGAAGGAGGTTTGAACTAAACATTGGGAAGAACATCTGAAAAGTACAATTTGCTTGACAGTGGAAGACACACTTGCCTCGGAAGGTGGTGGTGGAGACTCTTTGGTTAGGGTTGTTTTTAAAGCAGAGGCTGCTTGGTGACCTACCAAGGATACTATAGCAGTGGAGACTGGACTACGTCACATGAGAGGTCACTTCCAACACTCATGTTTCTTTTGGGGTGTGCAAGGCCTTTGAAGATGCACAAGTGAGATGCACAGTTTTTGCCACCTGGAGATGTTGCCAGCATGGTACATAATACAAAATAAATGTCAAACTTATTTTCTTGCTTTATATTCACATAACAAGAGTTGATCTAAGGAAAAGCCAATTGAAGACTCTCCTGTGAAAATCATCCAGGTGTACAACCCAGGATACCTCTTAAGCAGTGCTTTTTTTCTGGGGGGACGCAGGGGGACGCATACTCCTAAACATTTTGTGAATCTAAGTTTGACCTCATTGAGGGGCAGTATTTCAATATGAGTAGGGAAATGAGAGTGCCCTAAATATTTTTTTAGAAAAAAAGCACTGCTCTTAAGAGAACTGGATCCCACTCCCACTGGAGGCCTGTTACAAAGCAGTTAACAAGTAAACCTTGTCATTAAATAATTAGTAAATTGGTAAGGTTGGAGGGCAAATAATAGATTCCAGGAGGAATGCAATTCTACTCACATTTATGGGACAGAAGGACATCAAAAGAATCTGCCCATCTTGTAGCTTCTTCTGTTGATAATCTCCTGTGACAAAGTAGGGGGCAGTTAGGGTCAGTGAGCATTGCTGCAAGTGAGAAATGGGGATTGAGGAGTGTATACCAAGGCAGCCCAAAACCTGGCAGAATTTGCAATATTATATGGCCTAAACAACTTGTGCAAAATTACAGAGCAGCTAATTTTCTGTTCTGTATCACCTTCTTTGTACAGGCATTAGAGTTCTTTTAAAAAGTATGTTGAATGTTGGAAAAGATTGGCGAATGTTGGAATAGATTGGAATAGATTGGACAAAATACAAAATCTTAGACCAGAAGTCCTTCCTCCTGGTGGGGTAACTGTGCTGGTGGTGCACTCCCCTACTCCAGGTAACTTGTAGTTAAGTATGCGAGTAGGCATTCTTGTGAATAAGACTGCTTTTGTTAAAAATACTTTAAAAAGGCAGGTGGATCAAATCAGGACCACAGTAATAGGGTAAAGGGTAAGCCCACCCACTGTTTTCTTAATGGAAAATTCCTCCCCTCTGTCCCGGTCTGTTGTTTGCCCCATGAAGGAAAACCTACGTGTCCCATGGGGAAAGTAGCAGCTGGGGTAGGGAGATTTTAATCCTAAAAACAACATGGGGAGAAAACTTAGTCTCCCTCCTCAGCACTATAATTCTGATCTGCTCTTGGTAAAGCAAGACTGCAATTAATATTGGGGGTTTTTATGTGGGAGGTTCTAATGCTGACTGTCCCATGTCACATCCAGGTTGTTCTTTACAGAAGCCCCAAAGCCACCTCTCTGCATGCCCAGACTGCTCCTCTTCCTGCTCCCAGCCAGTTATTGCCCTTTCCCCTGTCTCCGGCAGCGTTCCTTACTCTGTCCAGCCAGGCTGACTTCTAACTGGCCTGACTCCAGCATCCTTCTACCATGGCTTGTGCTTCTGGAGCAAGCCTCACCAGCCATTGTGGTATGGCGCTTCCAGCAGAGCATACCGAACATCTGGCAGTGTGCGGAGACAAGGACATTCTGTGCAAGCATGCTTAGAGGCACACGCATAAAGAAATGCAAAATGTGAGTGGAGATATACGGATGCAAAGGAGGTTGAGGCTCTGGACAACTGCCACCTTCTTTTGAAGGAGGTTTCCAGAGTCCACTTCAAATTAAGCACTACACTGTTTGCATCTCATTTATACTGTTTCGCAGCTGTACATGGCTCACTTCTAATAGAGAACATTCTAACCGAGGCACATCCTAATTCATGGGTAGGTAAACTAAGGCCCGGGGGCCAAATCCGGCCCAATCACCCACGGAATCATCATGTTTTTACATGAGTAGAATGTGTCCTTTTATTTAAAATGCATCTTTGGGTTATTTGTGGGGCATATTCATTTCCTCCCCCAAAAAATATAGTCCGGTCCCTGACAAGGTTTGAGGGACAGTGGACCGGCCCCCTGCTGAAAAAGTTTGCTGACCCCTGTCCTAATTACAGTATTTCATAAAAGGGTTTCTATTATTGTTGAATGGATTTAAGTTGGTTCCGGCAGAAGAAGGCAATCCATGAAGATTCAGGCTCACTTACTCCTTTGGCACAAAACCTGTACAATCCATTTTCTTACAGGTTTGAAATCCATGCTGCCAGGTGCAGAAATTGAGAACGGAAGGATTTATAAAATCACCGCAAAGGAAAGGGGAGAACAACACAGAAAAGGAAGAAGGTGGATTGCCTCACCACTACTCACTTTAAAGCCCTGTTGGGTTTGTCTGGAAGAATAGCCGTGAAGTCGCTGCACGAGTCTGATTTGTGAGACAGACATCCCAGGCGAGTCCTCATCCCTCTGTTTCTGCAGTCAGTCATACAAGGCAGGGGAGCAAATGGGAGAAAAGGAGAAGGGATAACAATTAGCAACCCAGCAGGATCAGACCCTGGGTCCACCTGACTCAACATCCTCTTTCAAGCTTTAGCCAGCAAGATGCTACCCAGAGAGCCAGGGTGGTGCAATGGAGGGGTCTCCAACCTTTGGGGGCCATGGGGCACATTTGGAAGAGACTTCCATGAGCGCCAGTCACAAAATGGCAACCGTAGGAGAAAGGCAGAGTGGCTGCCACAAAAGTGCAGAGAGCGGGGAAAGACAGGGCCACAAAGTGATGAAGGCACCTACATCACTTCCACCACATTTGCTCACAGAGAGAAGCCATTTGCACCTTTCCTCTGTTCAGAACAGATGAGAGAGTAGGCATCCGACCTGAAATGTGGGCCTGTTTAGGAGGGGTCTTCATTGTCAGGAAGGTGGAGCCAGTGCAAAGAGGAAAAGTGAACAGCCTCTCATGCATGGTGGATTTTGGAGGGGATATATACTGAGCCCTTTCACAGGCACCAGAGGACATGCTAGCGAATGTGCTGGTGCCCACAGGCACTATGCTGGGAATCCCTTGAGCATCATAACAAAAATAAGGTCAAAGGAATTTCAGACTGAATGCACGCCTCTCTAATCTTTGCGATTCCAGAGACGACCTTGAAGGGGGCACAGTTTGACACAGAATACCAGAAAATAGAGAGCTAATTTGCATGCATGCCTATTTTCAACAAATTAAGAGCTAATTAGAACTTATTAAAACTGACTTTTTTTAACTTTCCAAGACTATAGGAGTGATCTCCCTTTTGTAAAGAAGATGAATAAACAATTTTGCTTTTTTATTTTATTTTTTAGTACAGGCCTTTTGAAGTTTATTATTGCAAAAGTTTACTGGATGTACAACCATTAGGTCATTTCATGCCTGTGAATGTAGAGGCAAGCTCCAGTTTTCTACTGAAAGCCAAACTGGATGTGTGCATGTTTATAAAATACGCACTTGCCCATTTACCTATAGCACTGCTGGATTTGGGGTGTGCAGGCAGTTCCCCTGCCCAGGGCGCTGAGCCAAGGGGGTACAAAATTGAGAAGATCCATTTGTATCTACAACAAGTGGGCGTTGGTTGTCAGCTGCTTTGGGCACAGGGTCACTGTGGGAAAGCTTCACGTAAATAAACACAGTCAAGAAGGAGAATCATCTTGGCCAGTAAGTCCTCATTCCTTTCTAAGGGCTCGCTAAGAAAACAGCTTGAAAGCCACTGCACTAACGCCATACTGATTCTCAAACTCCAAAATCTTAATGGAAATTCACCTTGCACTCTTAACCCTCCCCGGAGCCTCAGAGGAATTTGCTTCTGTTAACTTCACTGTGAAACAGCCTGCAAGAGCTTTTCATGACTGCACAGTTAAATATAAAATAACCTTTCTCGATGCCATATGGGAGGCCTCTGCAGAAAGCTTTGGCACTGTCTCCAAGATAATTTCACTGTGCCCACTTCTCCCTTCTGTTATAAACACTCTTGCATGATTTCTATTTATTGAACATTTTAAATGTAATTTTAGAGCAAATCTAAATGTTAGCTGATTAAAATGATTATCTGCTTGGCACCGTGCAGCCTGCCCCAGAGCATTTAGCTCCAGTTGAAAAACAGGTGACGCTTTAGCACACCCTAGCCTATGATGGAGGGAAAGAAACACCTGTGTTTTACAATATGTGACCCAAGTGAATGAGCAATGCAATCTGAGCCCACTTTCCCACTAAAGAATTTTGAAATAGTAATTAAAAAGAATTTGTTTCTCATCATGCCACAAAAGCATATTTTTAGAGTTCTTAACTAATTTAATAATATTTAGTTTACTGAACTAACAGTGCACAAACCAGTAACAAATCAAAATGGTAGTTTTCAATTTGCTGTCTAACCCAACTGACCTCTCTGTACTTCCCAACAAATCGTCTAGGTTATTCAATATTTTGCTGTCATACGCAGATGGCTATATTGATCCTATACTACTTAAGTTTGATATTGCTGTGTGCTCATTTCTTTTGAGTATATAATTTTAAAGATTCAGAAAAAGAATGTTTGTTATCTGCCTTTTAATTAACAACATTAAAATATATTTGCATATTAGCAATGTGTAGAGTATACAACATGTAGGGGATAAAATAACTAATACTCAAACAAACACTACCGATTCTTGACAGCAGGCGTTCCATTGTTATTTCCGTTCCCTACTACTGAAATAACAGCCTCCCAAAATAAATTTTAAAAAAACCTTAATTCCAGTCGCCACAAACTAAAACCTGCCTTTCCCAATGGAAACTGTATTTCCAGTCAGCCAAACCTTCAGTGGATTAATCTGCTGATTAACCACTGATTAAAGTGTGCAGTCCTTTTCTGCATATCAGTATACTCGGTCTGACCCTTTCATGTGAATTCCCCCTACGTGGTATCCTCACAACAACCGTGGGAGGTAGGCTAGGCTGAGAGATAGTAACTACACAGCAGACTTCATGGCCAAGACAGGATTTGAACCTGTGTCTCCCTTCCCAGTCATGGTCTGGAACTTTAGCCATTACCCCTCCTTTATAAGAAGAAACGCTGCAAGGTTCCCTAATACTGTACAAATAAGACACCTGTGGCCAAAAGGCCAACTGGCACCAAGGTACAGTGATGCAAGCACAATGAGTACAAATGGCCAGCTTATGTTATGAAGACCTGGTAGTTTTTCTCCAAACCTGGGCTTGTTTCACAATTGGAGATGCTTTGGGTATCTTCTGCCCAGAGCTCCTCAACCACCGCCGTTCCTCACAAGGCCCATTCTAGCAAGCACTGTGAAAATCTCACAGATCTCTCTCAGTTGAGGCACATGACATGTATCTCTGCAGTGCTGCTTAAACTCCTCGGGTGTCTGAGAGAAAGGCAGTGACGATGCACAGCAGACAGGGAGACTGCGACAAAACAGAGCTTGTGTGGGACCTTATGGTGGAAGGAGCATGGCTGGCAATGTCCAAGATGGGAGAAAGGCAGGGAAAACGTGGGGAGCCAAAGGGGGGAGGGAGGACAAGGCAGGGGGAGATGAGCTTGACATGCTTCCGTTCAGAATTATCTGGAAATAAGGCTATCCCATTTTACCAGCAGCATAAAATGGTAGAGCCCTAAGGTGGCAGAATGGGGTGGTGCTGGTCATATTCTTTAAAAAGTAGTAAGGTGGCACATCAACGAGAAGATAGATCAGATCTCTCTCTGGCTGGGGGGAGAAACTTTCAAGAGAGGTTATTTCTTTGTGGCATCAGAAGTGTTGCACCGCAGGCCATCTCCGTTTGTTAATTCCTTCCCCGACTGACTTGTGAGAGTGGCAAACACAGTTTCCAGGAGGCAATACTTCAGGGGGAAAAGAGAAACCATGCTGGGTTCTGATCCTGCAAATTGTAGGGTTTTTTTGCCAAAGGAGGGCAACTGTCCTCAACACAGCAAACTCTCTCACCTCCTGGAAGCAACGGCTGACCTTCCTTGTAGCTTTTCAGAACACAGAATTGGTAAGAAGCCTAGCAAGCTGTTATCCCTTCCCCTGAGCATGGGTGAAGCCAGGATTTTGTTAGGAGGGGCAGGCCTTTTGCTAGGGGAGGGCAGAACCCCAGTTTGCTATGTATTTTTATTGATTTAGGGGGCAGCTGCGCCTTCCTGCCCCCCCGGCTACGCCCATGCCCCTGGGTGGCCCATGGAGGAGACGCTGAGGGGTTGCAGTGCAATGTTGTTCAGCAAGCAAGGCAGTCTCAGCTCAGGACTGAACTGGATAAGGAGTTGGTTAGAGCATGGTACTGATAACACCAAGGTTGCAGGTTTGAGCCCCTCCAGGAGGTTGGACTAGATGGCCCTCAAGGTCCCTCCCAACTCCACAATTCTATGATTCTATGCCCTTGCTACTCCTTCACATCAAGGTGAGGTTGCTGGGCAGGAACATGGAGAAGCCGGCTGGCATTTGAACTGGCCTGAGAATGAAATAACAGGAGGACTTGATGCCACATGAATGGATTCAGGTCCTTTAGCAGCCTCAGTTGTTCACATGCATGCACTGAGGAATCTGCCAGCAAGTCCCCCACCTCCTGGGGCCTTTATGCAGAACACACACAAGTTCAAGGGGAAAGAGAGTGGAGCAAGAGTAGCAGGCCAATGCTAAATAGAGACCACCTGCCAGTTCGCCCCTGAAAATACTCCCCTTCAGTTCACATATGACTTTTACAACATGCCTCCTTTTACGTATTCAGTGGTCTTTGTTTGCCTGATCTTGAATAAGGACTAAGGATTATGAGCCCTTGTGTTCTGATTCAATACATGATATCCAGTCACTGAATATTTCAGTATTTGGGTCACTGCCATTGGCCCTTAAACTCTGAGTTATGATTCGCAGCTTGGAAGTTTAGACAGCCAATCACGTTGAGAGTGGAAGTGGCCCAGCTGCTTTACCCCTGTTGTCCAGTTCTGTTAGTTCCAGTGCTTTTTTTCTGGGGGGGACGCAGAGGTACGCACACCCCTAAACATTTTGTGAATCTTTGTACTTTTGTCCATTTACTGTATTTATTTTCCCTGATTTGAATTATAAAATCGTGATTTTCTTGAGTCAAAATGAGAGTACCCCTAAACATTTTTTTTTTTTTTGAAAAAAAGCACTGGTTAGTTCAATAAAGGTTCTTGCTGTTATCACTGTGTTTTGCTTCATGGGAACCACCTACACTTCAGCTCCCCTGTAGCATCTTGTTTTGTCTTAAGAGAACGAGGCTGGAAGTTTCCAATTCAAATCTTGCCTCACGCAAACTTCTTAGTGCAGCACCACACTTCTCTACATAAGAAAACGAGAGAGTTGCAAGGAGGAGAGTCTCGGCCAGACACCTAGCACAGAGCACCTTAATGTTTTATATTTGTGTGGAAGTGAGAATTTTATCAAGCGCAGCTTTTCACCTCCTTCAATTTAAAGCCCTGTGGGTGGTTGCCCCACACAGGGCACTGAGCTGAGAGGGTACAAAACTGAGAAGATCCGTTTGGAGACGCCAAATGTTGGCCTTGCTCCAGGCACTATACAGTGGTACCTCGGGTTAAGTACTTAATTCGTTCCAGAGGTCCGTTTTTAACCTGAAACTGTTCTTAACCTGAAGCACCACTTTAGCTAATGGGGCCTCCTGCTGCTGCTGCGCCACTGGAGCACGATTTCTGTTCTCATCTTGAAGCAAAGTTCTTAACCTGAAGCACTATTTCTGGGTTAGCGGAGTCTGTAACCTGAAGCGTATGTAACCTGAAGCGTATGTAACCAGAGGTACCACTGTATTACCAAAGATTACCAAGGCCCATCCCTGTTTCCACCAAAGTGCTCAAGAGGAGAACATTGGGCACCTGTCAGGGATTGGAAATCTGCTCCACATGTTACTGGGCTCCAATTCCTATTAGCCCCAGCCAGCATGATCAGCGTTGATGAGACCTGAAGTCCCATGGACCAAAAAAACCCAATTAAGAGTTAGGTTCATGCTACAGGTTGGAGTTAAAGAGGAGCCCACATTCTGAAGGCAACTGCATCTGTGGTCATAAATAAGCCTTGTCTAGCTCTCTGCCTCAGCCTCCTATCTGCAGTTTGGGGGTTAATGGAAAGGAGAGGTGATGTTAAGAAACAGGAAGACACCGGCTCAGGTGTCATCTCTGCCGCAAACTCTTTCAGTGGCCTTAGGCAAGTTGCTCTTCTCTCAGCCTTTGCATTTCATAACATGGATGTAATATCCGCCCATCTTACAGGGCTGGTGTCCTTAGGATCTTTGGAATGATGTATACAAAGCACTGTGTAGCCTTGAAATGTGTGACTTAAATGCTAAGAGTTGATACTGGCAGAGGAACATGGAGCAAATGGAGTGGGACACCTGTGTATGAATGAATGATATTTGTTAGCTGCTTTTCTTACAAAATAACCCAAAGAGACATTACAACCAGTTAATAATAACAGTGAAAACCTAAAAACACAACTAGACAGATAAAAGGCAGGATTGCATGTCTCACTGCATTAAAAGATGCCACAATGCCACCTTTCAAATAAAGGCCCAAAAGCCAAGGCCTTGTGCCCAAAACTGGATAAAGGTGGTGCTGGTTGTGCCTCCCTGGGGAGAGCATTCCATAAGCATGGGGCCAACACTGAAAAGGCCCATTCTCAAGTTGCCTTCCTCCAAACCTCCCACATTGTTTTGCATGGCAAGGCAGTGGAGGTTTCAGATCAGAATTGTCCTTCTAGAGGGGCTGCCTTTGCAGGTTGACAGGCCCCATCTGGCCCTCACTTCCTTCTACAGCACCTGCAGAAACCTCCTTCTTGGCCATTGGACCCACTCTTGGTCTTGTCCACTCAATCCACCTGATCCTGTCTTTGGATGCAGGAGAAGTCCTTAATTCACTGAGGGTTTGAGACCCATTGGCTACCCTCTCCTGTGGCTACTGTCACCTGCTGACAGCTTCTAGGAGCCACAGGTGAGAGGTGAGTGCAGAGTGAGAATCAAAGGTGGACAAACTACCCCAGAAGGAGCATGTCATGCACCCCACCAGAGGTACTATCCCTCCCCTAACACCCCATGGAAACTAATAGAGACTGGGAAAATGGATGCAGTTATTAGGTAGATCTTACTTGGCACTGCACAAGTGGAATCATCTGCAAAACAGCTCTCCTTTTGTGCTTCAGCAGGAAGGATAAACATAAAGCAGATAGAAAAGACTGACAGTGCAGAGGCAAGAAGATGGGCCTGAAGGTCTTCAGAAATCCAAAGTAGGTAAGCAGGGACCAATCCCAGCATGCACGTAAAAATCTGATTATGTACACACACACACACACACACACACACACACACACAGCCTCTTCTCTTCTAACTAATGGAGGAGGGATTGCATTAAATGCCAGCAAGTGCATTCATTTTAATCCTTATCCCAACCGTCTGCCTTGTGCTGTATTTTTGCTGAAATCAACCCCTGTAATTCCCTAAGCCCTTTTGAATTTCCTCATTAGCGCACTCTCAGCCCGCCCACCCCATTGCCACATGAGGCTGCAGCACGTGAGGATGCTTTCCCTGGATTCCCCTGGCTAGAGCTGCCCATGTGAGAAACTGGGTCCTCTCTTCCTCCCTGTCTTTGTGCATGCACAGGCCTCTGTGGCAGACCAATAATTTGACCTTCCCTGTGCTGCAAAATCTTGGGACAGGGTGGTGGGCGGAGAATATAGCAGCTTTCAGACAACCATAAACCTGCAAGCGCATCAAAGTTTTGTCCTGGTGTTATCTGACCTCATTTTGGGTGCATCTGATCTGGCCCACTCCCCTCCACAGTCTGTCTCCATCCTATCTGCCAAGGCACCTCCTGTCCATCAGGGCACAGGTGAAACAGCTCCAGGGTTTGTTTTAAATTCTCTTCCCCTCCTCCTGGATTCCAAAGGGTTTTAGTCTATTCATGATTTCACAGTAACAGGCAAAAGCATTTGCGGCAAAGTCTCCCATCTGTCCCATTCCACCGCTATTCTTAACAACAACAGGGATGGCACAAAGGGTGGTTGTTGTTGTTTTATAAAAAGAGGTTGTTTATTTTGTAGGGAAAACTACCTGGGTGGTCCCATCTATTAGGCATTTGCTTTCCCCTATGAAGGAATCTCCTTTTCCCTTTGCAATAAAGGGAGCAGGTGCAAAGGCAACTCTTTCAAGTGCAGCCAGGTGCAGGTTTTGAGGTCTCGGATGGGGGAAGGGGTGGGGGAAGTCTCCCCATTATGTGACACCCAACTTGAAGAAGAGGTTATTGCACCATCACCAAAGGCATCATTCAATATATTTGGATGGGGGAAACTATGGGGGAAACAACAGCAAAGGACAAAACGGAAGAACAGAAATGTCTGTCTAAAAAAGGTGGTGAAGGGGGGAATGACAGTAAGAATGCCCATCAAATACAAACATTCAGGAGAGAGCAGACACATTCAACATGGATCGTGCACCCAGACAGACAACCCTAGAGACCAAGCAAAGATACTCACTGCCTTTGCCCTGTCCTCGTGCTCTGGAGGTCTTTGCCAATTGTGTGGTCAGAGAGGCTCTATGGAGAGAAGAGAGCAATCTCTTAAGCTGGGAGCAAAACCCACAGACAGCGACACACCTCCCTGCCTCCCCCTCCCCCTATTTCCCTAAGCAACGGTTCTGCTGAAACCTCTCTGCATATCACATCCAGTAAACACTAAAGCAGCCTAACTGAGAAGGCTTGAGGTTTGGCTAGCACTGCAGAGCTGCTCACAACATTTCCATTGGTAGGATTTGAGAAGTGCCCACCTGATCGGAGCATTTCGAAGCATCCTCCTTCATCCCGCTCCTCCTTGTTAACCTGATGGCATTCAAATCCCTTTGCTTCTACTAAATTAAAGTAATCCACCACTCAGGGTACGCAGTAAATGTCTGATAAAACGTTTGCTGGGAGGATTCAGATGGGAGTCCGGTCCCCCCCGTAAACATCCATTTGGTCCTTGCTTCAGCAGTTAGAACAAAGCACTAGCCTGTATTTAAATAAGTATTTAAATAAGTCCTTGGTGGGTTTAGGATAGGATGGTAAATCCATGGAGGTTTCTGTGCAAGGCAGCTGGTGGAGTGGGGTTGAGGAAAATAACATCAGCGAGTTTCATTAAAGAGCGCCAGTGCCAGTGAAGTCAAATTGCATCTATTAAACAGCAAGGCGGGTTTCTTATTGGGAGCACTCGTGTGATAAATACACAGCCATTTTTTAAAAATAAAAAATGTGATTCAGAGTCAACTAAATAGAAATGTGTGAGTTCCCCCTCAGTTCATCAGCCTGGGTGTGATCTCACACTTTCTTATGCTTCCTCTCACCTGACTCCCATCATCGGTCCAGATCTCCTGCCTGTCTCACTTCCCCTCACGCTCTTTTCCCCTAGAGGTGGAAGGAGCTTTGAAGGCCATCACATGCCGCCCTGTGCAATGAAGGGATTTCCCCAGCTGTAGCCCATGCCCAACAGAAGTCACCTGGGGCTTCTCACCGTCTCAACTTGGTGGTCACATATTTATTGGGTGATAAATGAGTGGGGAACTTGGGTCCAAGGATAGTCACACTCAGGGCCAGCCCTGCAGCAGATGTCCTCTTGGCCAGGGTCCCTGGGGTTAATTTCTAAAGCCAGAACTGTTGCCAGGATTGGGAGTGCAGCAAGCAGGAGAATACTTGATCAGGCAAAGGCAAACATCCGGGATTCTTGTATTGACACCTTGCCAAACATCAGGGTCAGCCGCAGCTTGACCGAGATCTTCTGGCTCTTATGAAGCCATTCAAGGTTGCCCAGTGAAGGACCATACGGGTACTATTGGCTTCAGAATGGTTCCACCCCCAGGCAGGCCATTGCTTCAGCCTGACAAGACCTAGTTATACATACCCTCACTAGGTCAGGCCTGGGTAATAGTTTACTTTTAGGCTTTCCCTAGCTGGCCCACAGCTTCCTTACATCTGTCTGTAACCCGTTTATTCCTCTGACTTTCTCTGCCACCTGTCTACATGACAAATAGATTTTAAACTGTCCAATGAACAGTGTTTTTTGGACATACTGTTGGTTTATTGGTTTGTATTTTGGTTAAAGAAGAAAATACTAGGTATAATAATAGACGGAGAATTCCCTGGATGGAAAGATCCAGGTCTGAGGCAAGAACTCATTGGTGAGAGAACCACAGCAGAAACTTAAAATCATGAACAATGCAGCAAAGTAAAGTGTGGAAATATAGCCTCTTAGACCTTTAAAAATTCCCCTTCCAAGTTGCTTCCAAAGTTCCCCACTTCCCATCATCTCCAACTAGTAGGACCAGTCCTCAGGAATATATGGGAATTATAGTGCAAATACAGCTGGATGCCCATGTTTGGGAAATGACCAGTGTTCCCAAGTTGTAAGTCTCTTGAGGGGGCGCCTGGGAGGAACATGGTGGCTCAGCTGCCCTGCAAGCCCAGTGCTTCCCAGGGTGATCTGCCCCTCCTGAACCCCCCACCTACACCACTGTTGTGGCATGGGCCAAATGGCTCACACAAGAGCACAGGACCAAAAGATGGAAGACCCCATGCACACTCCTGCCTACTTCCTTGGCAGTACTTCCAGAAGCTTCCGGAAGAACAGAGGCAGTGGAGGCTATGCAGGCTGGTGTCGCCTCTCCTGAGGCTGCGGAGGAGGAGGCCACGGAGAAAGATGAAAGGGGGCAAGGGAGGGGACAGTGGCAGGGAGGGGGCAGGCAGGCGAGCAACAGGGCCAGTGGGATGGGGGGTGCCCTGATTTCCCCACCTGAAATGTTAATGGGGTGCAAATCCACTTCCAAAACAGAAAAAAATCACCACATATTTTTGTGATAAGAAAAGTGAAGGCAAAATGCACTGGTGTAGGTTAATATAAACTGCATATGCAAATCAGAATGAATGCTTAATAAACAGCAATACTATTTAACTTCATGCAAATTTGGTGCAAACAAATCTGGATGAATACTAAATAAACAGGTCATTTGAAAGAGCCTCGGTCTCTGCTGCTATGATTTGCATCCACAGATTAATTATTGTGACTGAATGCACTAAAAAACCCTTCTTTGATGTCCATGAAGCTAGCTCCGAAAGAGTGCGGTAAATCATAGCAGAATTCCTGGTTTATCGTGTTTCTCTATTTCTTTACAAACAAGTTGCTTAGATAACCCATTCAAGACCGCAGAACCAGTTTGTTAGCCCAAGAACTGGAAAAAGAAACTATGAGCTGTAAGGTCGGTGAAAAGGTAGTATCCAAAAACCTTTGGTGCCCTGCTGGTACAATTTTGTCCTCACCCCAAGTTAAAGGGGCTTCTGCTGCAGCTTAAAGCAATTGCTTCTTTCACATCCCTTGTAGCACCAGTTTTTGTTTTCAATCTGCTTTCTCCATCCTAGCTGATGTAAGAGCCTTAGCTTTGCTTTTCCCATTTATAACTGATGAAGGGCATTGAATCACTTGTGTCATGTAGTCAATCCAGCAGATGCCGGGTCTGCCAAAAGACATCATCATAACCTTCTTTGCCTCTAGTAAAATAGCTATTGTCAAGTTGCTCTGTTTGTCACAGCCTTAAGCAGCTGTTTTTGCAGCAGTAACCCAACATTATTGGAGGGAAAGGATTCAATATTTCTCAGTTTGGCAGCTTACAGCGTTCCTGGCCATATATACACTAAGTGAAGCTGAAGCCTGGGAAAGCCTGATAGCTCTTTGTATATCCTCTTTCAAAGCAGGGGACGGAGATGTGGCAGGCCGGTTCTGTCCATGCACCAGACTCCTTAGGCTGCTTCCAGATGACTTCTTTACTGAGCATTCATTCTGATTTGTTTTCAGGGAGATGACATTGGCTCAGACCCCCCAAGTGTCCCTATTTTTCAGGGACATCCCTGATTTAGAGGTGCCGTCCAGGTTTCTGATTTGATCCCGGAATGTCCCACTTTTTCTTAGGATGTCCCTATTTTCATCGGAGAAATGTTTGAGGCTATGTAATGAATGAGCATTAAGCAGCCAATGTTGTCAAATTAAATAGTCAACGTGGGGAAGCCAGATGCTGCTGTGTCAGAGAGTCTCCTAATGAGGGATTATTCTGGCCAGTTTTTGTGGAATTCTATCTGCTAGTAAAAGTAAAGGGACCCCTGACCATTAGGTCCAGTCGTGGCCGACTCTGGGGTTGCGGCGCTCATCTCTCTTTATTGGCCGAGGGAGCAGGCGTACAGCTTCTGGGTCATGTGGCCAGCATGACTAAGCTGCTTCTGGCGAACCAGAGCAGCACACGGAAACACCGTTTACCTTCCCACCAGAGTGGTACCTATTTATCTACTTGCACTTTGACGTGCTTTTGAAATGCTAGGTTGGCAGGAGCAGGGACCGAGCAACGGGAGCTCACCCCGCCGCGGGGATTCGAACCGCCGACCTTCTGATCGGCAAGTCCTAGGCTCTGTGTTTTAACCCACAGCGCCACCCGCATCCCAGCGCCACCCGAGTCTAGTCACCTTTTATTTCTCTAGTGCAGAAAAACACCAGCACATCCTTGCTCCTTGCCGTCATTCCTTCAGTGTTTATTGTCATGAAGTCCTTGCCGTGATGGTGTTTTAGCTAAGCACAGGGGTCCCCTTTCCCTCATAATCTCCTGGTTCTCCGCTACTTCACATTGGCTCTCTGTGCCAATTCTTCTTGTTTATTTGCCTTTGTTTATATGTATATACACTTTGTAAACTGGCTGCCCTATAACCTTTTTTTTTTATTGGCAGCGTCCAAGGATGAAAACAAACAAAATTACAACAAGTAAATACAACTGGTATAAGCCCAACAGCATAATTTTTCAGAGTGTGGCCAAAGGTGCCTCCAAACTCTTACTATTTTCCATGAGGAATTCTCAGCCAACAGATTGTGTGGAAGAAGGGCCCAGAGTCATCTATCTCTGCTTCCCCCAAATAACCTTCAGGAGGACTGTCTTGTTTGATAAGAAAAGCAGCAGAAATATGTACTGGAAACTGTGGAATAGCACTTGCTTCAACACCACGTCCTCTAACCTGCCCACAACATAGTCTCCCATTGCAATGAAAATGTGGAGACCCTCACACAAACCCTTAAGCCATCACGGCTTCTCTATTTGTCACGCAGAATCCCAAATTCCCAATTGCAAGTTTTTCCCCACCACAAAAAACCCAAAATCTTTTCCCACCTTTTCATCCATTGCTCCTTCCATCTCCTGGCCAGGGAAAGAGAGAAGCAGCAATCTACTTTGGGTTCTCATTTGCATGCTCTTACAAACTGCTCAGCAGCATCACACGGGACAAGGAGGGTCTGCTCTGCATCTAAACCTCTTAGGTCCCTGCCCAGTTTCTTTGCATTGCTGCCTTTCCTTTCATTGCCAGTTTTGTTTGGGAACCTGAAGTGTCACTGAGCTGCCACCGCCTGTGTATGTGTAGTGGCCATTTTCTCTTTGGCTCCTGCTTTGAGAGAGATGCAGAGAGGTCTGAATCTGATCCTGCAGCTTGGCTCTCTCTGTGGCTTAAAATGAACTGAACTAGATTACTAGAGAGGAAAGGGATTTGGGGAGATGGGGAGGGGTCCGCCGAAGCAATAATGCCTCCCTCCAAAGCCCCTTCCTGCCTGACTTCTCATGTGGATGGGGGGAAAGCATTGATCTTTCTCATGAGCTGAATTGATAGTGCCTTCTGAAATCTTGTTTTGTGCATTTGGGTGAGGGGGACTCCCAAAGCAGCTGAGGCAGGGGGTGCCGGGGAGGCAGGTGATGCCTATGTAGCTGATCCATCCAGAATTCACCACAGCACTAGGATGCTGCAGCTGTTTACACCTTCCTAATTTGCTCAGAAGTTTGAAACATTAAATCGTGTCCTCCCTCAAAGAGGGCACATGTTGCAGTGAGACCTGGAGACCAATCCCCTGTGTTGTGGGTGGGTAAAATTGGTCAGCCACCCGATTGGTAGGTCCCTTGATGTTGGGTTCATAGAATCATAGAATCATAGAGTTGGAAGAGACCACAAGGGCCATCGAGTCCAACCCCCTACCAAGCAGGAAACACCATCAGAGCACTCCTGACATATGGTTGTCAAGCCTCTGCTTAAAGACCTCCAAAGAAGGAGACTCCACCACACTCCTTGGCAGCAAATTCCACTGTCAAACAGCTCTTACTGTCAGGAAGTTCTTCCTAATGTTTAGGTGGAATCTTCTTTCTTGTAGTTTGGATCCATTGCTCCGTGTCCGCTTTTCTGGAGCAGCAGAAAACAACCTTTCTCCCTCCTCTATGTGACATCCTTTTATATATTTGAACATGGCTATCATATCACCCCTTAACCTCCTCTTCTCCAGGCTAAACATGCCCAGCTCCCTTAGCCGTTCCTCATAAGGCATCATTTCCAGGCCTTTGACCATTTTGGTTGCCCTCCTCTGGACACGTTCCAGTTTGTCAGTGTCCTTCTTGAACTGTGGTGCCCAGAACTGGACACAGTACTCCAGGTGAGGTCTGACCAGAGCAGAATACAGTGGCACTATTACTTCCCTTGATCTAGATGCTATACTCCTATTGATGAGGCCCAGAATTGCATTGGCTTTTTTAGCTGCCGCGTCACACTGTTGGCTCATGTCAAGTTTGTGGTCAACCAAGACTCCTAGATCCTTTTCACATGTACTGCTCTCAAGCCAGGTTCAATCTGGCCAATGGGGCACAGTCCAAACGGATCGAGGGACCTATATATACGCATGCACGTGACCCAGAGCTTCCTCTTTTGGTGCATGCATTGGAACACCTGCCCACCTCTCCCTACTTTTAGGGCTTGCGCGCTTGACCTGGTTATGCCGTCATGTGTCTTCTGTCATTGGAACAGGAGCATGGCAGGAATTTTCCCCACTTGGCTGATTGGCTGGTGCCATTTGGGTTTCGCCTGCCGTGCAGCAAATCGTCGCAACTTGTAAGGTTGCGGATAGGCTCTGGTTCAGGTGATAGGGATGGGAGAATGCTCTCGCCATCCCTATGTGAAGGGCATTCCGTTAAAGGAATTCAGGGACTTGATGGTTTGGTCATCCCCTGAGAGGGGGTTGTGCCCGTGCCTGAGTCCAGGGGGACATTTGGGTGGCGGAGTTAGCCCATTCCCGGCTTTCCACTTATCCAGGTGTTCACCCTTGGCTGAGCTATGCTGGAACCCTGGGTCATCGCTACCTGCATGGCAAGCTGCTACTCGAACCAGAGCCTATGCAACCAGTCACTTTCTGTAACCAATAAAGTTGTGGCCTAAATTCTGCCAAAAAACCAAGCTAAAATTTGAGTCAAGTGTGAATTTATTTAGGGGGGAGGTCTCTGGGTCTGAACACGCAAAAAAAATATGGAAGTTTATATATCCCCAAACTCAAAGGTTTAGATGTCCCTGGACCCTGAAATAAGCACTGGGATACCCCATATCACAACAATAATGATTGTTCAAAGTTACCATGCTTCCAAAATACTCATCAATGCATATCACATAGGCTCCACACACACAGTTAGCTGTATTTGGGGTTTTCTTTTCCCCTCTATTCTGTGCTTAAAGTAAGGTTACCAGTTGTCCCTGTTTCCTGGGGACAGTCCCCAGATTTACAAATCAGTCCCCTGACAAAAGCCACTGAATTCGACTGAAGTTGAAAAGTTTCCCCGGATTCATTGAAAAAAATCTGGTAACCTTAGCTTAAATCCTGCAGTTTTGTGTGTTTCCTCCAATAACTTTTGTACGTGACCAGGAGGAAATGTTCAGGCAGTGATACTGATGTAGAATAGAATGTCCCTACTTCCATCTGATGAATGTTGGAGAGTATGCCACAGACAAATCAGAATAAATAAATGGGTCATCTAGAAGCACCCAAAGAATCAGGGCCGTATACACTTGGTGCCAATCAACCTTCTGTGCCCTGGAAATCTAATCTTCCATCAAGAAAATATGAATGCTTTCACTCATATGAATTATATGCATCCAGCAAATATGCACTCCTTTGTTTCCTTTTCATAATTTATGCTGAGGAGAGAGAGGAATCTCTGCAGGGGGCTGAATCCCTGGCTCCTGAGCACTTCCGGGGATCTGCCTGGTGACAAATGGCAACCAAACAATTTTATATAGCATAATTGTAAATATTTTCAGGTATGAGATAGAGTATATCTTGCCCTCCAAACGCTGTGACTGCCTTTTTTCCAGTCCCCACTCTCAAAAATGTTCAGATCTTTTGTCATGCTATTCTTTCTCCCCAACCCTTTTCCATTGTTGATCCCAATGGCAGCAAAAGTTGAGTCCCAAGGCAGGCATCAGAGATAAGCTGCCTACCAAACTGATATATTTATATAAGTATTGTTTTATTTATTCAGAATGTTTATAGGCTATGCTTCAGCAGTGCACTCAGAACAGCTAAATGTAAGATGATAAAGGCCACAATTTTAAAACAATGAATCATCATGAAACACAATAAAATAAGGCACAGCAGAGCCATAGAATGAGATAAAATGCTAGCATAAAACCGGAGTTGGCGTCAGGGGTGGCGTCAAGACTGGGCACCTGCCAAGGGATTCAGCAGGATCCCTCACCAACTGACCACCAGTCACTCTCCTCACACATCCCCAGGCCACCAGGCCTTTGGTCAGGGCCCAGCCTGACTCCCTCCTCTGGCAACCTGCACAGAATTTTGCTTAACGGTTGCCATTAATTTGATTTTAATTAATTTTTATAATGAAATGTTTTTAGAATGTTGGATTATTTGATTGTTTGATTATTTGATTGTTGTTAGCCGTCCTGAGCCCGGCTTCGGCTGGGGAGGGCGGGATATAAATAAAATTTATTATTATTATTATTATTATTATTTTAGTGATGGGTATGGCTGTGCTTTTGAATGGGAACTGACCCAGACACCTGCCATGTCTACCCAAAATGCAGTCCCCAGCCCAATGTTTGGTTGGTCATTGCATTTTTGGTAATTTAACATGGTGAACACACCATAGGTCAGAGCCAAGTGCCACCACCTACTACTATAACATACCTGTTGGTGGTGATGTCAGTGACTGGCTGCAGCAACAGCGGCAAACAACAGGTTGAGAGGGTGTTGGTCTCAGGTTGGGAGCGACTGAAGTTCAGTGTCAGCCCTGCACAAAACCTCGGTTGCATAAAAGCTCTGAAAGGTGCTCACTTTAAGCTCCCAGATTGTTCCTTTGAAGCCCTTCATCTGACATCATGTATGACACCAGGTGTAAGTTGGGTGGGCATGGCTTCCCCAAAACGGCCTTGTGGGCCTGCAGACCAGAGGTAATCCTACAGTTGTTATTAAACAACAACTGCTTAATAGGGGCAAGAGCTGCTGGAGATGAGTTGCTGTGATCATTAGATTCAGGTAGGTAGCTGTGTTGGTCTGACGCCGTCGAAATATATACAGTGGTGCCCCGCAAGACGAATGCCTCGCAAGACGGAAAACTCGCTAGACGAAAGAGTTTTCCGTTTTGGAGGTGCTTCGCAAAACGAAGCTCCTATGGGCTTGCTTCGCAAGACGAAAATGTCTTGCGAGTTCCTGCGGTTTTTCCCCCCTTTCCTCCCCCTTTTTCTAAGCCGTTAAGCCGCTTATCTGCTTATCCGATAAGCTGATAAGCCGCTAAAAGCCGCTAATAGCGCTAATAGCGCTAATCCGCTAATCCGTCAATGGGCTTGCTTCGCAAGACGAAGAAACCGCTAGACGAAGAGACTCACAGAACGGATTCTTTTCGTCTTGCGAGGCACCACTGTATATATAAATTGTCCAGTAGCACCTTAGAGACCATCTAAGTTTGTTCTTGGTATAAGCTTTCGTGTGCATGCTGGTATCTGAAGAAGTGTGCATGCACATGAAAGTTTATACCAAGAACAAACTTAGCTGGTCTCTAAGGTGCTACTGGACAATTTTTTTATTTTTTATTTTATATATTTTGATTGTGATCATTAGGTCTGACACTCCTGTGTTGATAGTGTTTTTTGCTAATAAAGAGTTAACTTCAACTTGCATGGTGTGATTTACTGCTGGCACGCTCCTGACAGGACCGTTCCCAAGGGAAGGGCATATACAGCACATTACGGTAGTACAAGTGGTCCCCTTCCAACTCCTTGTTTGTAAGTGACTGGATTCTGAGGGAAGGAGAGGAATGGGAGAAGCCTCACACATGGCTTATGGGTAGAAAGGGATGAAGTTGGGGCGAGTGGGCATAGGCTTAGGCCTACTTCCCACTATGATGATAACCCTGAGTCTGGGCTATATCACTTCAGATGAAAAGTAAAAGATCACATGACTGCATAAGTATACAAAAACCCCACACATAACCCACAATATGTAGGGAATTGGTGTGTAGCTGGACAAGTATTCAGTCCTATGAGCCCCCTCTTATGGTCCAAGGTGGCACAGTCCAGGCATACACATTTCCTGCCTCACTGAGGGCAAAATCAGAGACGGCATGTATGTGCCTGAAAGCAACCAGGGGGAGATTAAAACCAGGGTTGCAGCAGTGGGGAAATGGTGCTTAATCCTTTCCCTCCATGCCATTTCCTTGATTTAACTGCCTCCCCAAAGAGCTGTTAGCTGCAGATGCCCACCTCTTTCATGGAGAGCCATGGCAAAAAGCAGCGGGTGAGGGGGACTGAAACTGGAGAAATGCTATGAACCCCACTGCTCCAATGCCATGGCTCCGATCCCAAACCTTCTTCCCTCACTGGCTGCTTTCAAAGGCAGAATAGATGTTGGAAGAGCTGATCACAGATCTCCCAAACAGCATCTACTTTGGCCCTGAGAACTGGGCTTCAGCAGTCAGGGAGACACGGGTCGGGTGGAGGCTGAGTTTTATGTGCTGATTCCAAAAGGTAATTTAAAACATATTTTTAAAAAGTTTAATAAGCAAAATTATTTATATTTGAAGAACTCTGTTGGGTCATGGTGTCTATAGCCTGATTGCTTTGACTCCCTGCCAGCAGGTTGTTAATGCAGAAGGTCGCCCACTGGGAAGCCCAGCTATGATTATGGACTAATATTTTCCCTTTTATGTTTTCCCAGGTCAGGGCTGCATTAAATCAGGAACAAAACAGTGCCCATGTGTTGATATAGGCACTGTGGCAAATGTGATTAAATGGACAATAAAGAGAATTGCATTTCACAAGGGCCAATATTTTAAAAAGCCTCTTTTGAGGCAAGAGGAGAGGGTTATGGAAAATTCCTGCTCAAATGACCACAGAGCTTTCCAAGGGTGGGGAGCTGTTTATCCTCGCAGATGTGATGAGGCAGCTTCTATGGGAGAGCTTTTAATAACACAAGCATTTTTGACATTAGGCTTGAATGTCATCCAAATATTAAAAAAATTTCTTTAAGAAATAAATTTAAAGTAAGAGGCGATAGATTTACAGTGTGTTATAATCTAAGAGAAAATGTTACGAAAATGCTCTACCGGTGGCACCTCATCCTGGCGAACTGTATAAGAATAGATCTGAAATGTGTTGGAGATGTAAAAAGGGGAGAGGTTCATATATGCATATGTGGTGGGAATGTGAAAAAATTAAAGAGTTTTGGGATATTGTATACAATTAATTAAAAAAAGATATTCAAATTCCCATTCACAAAAAGACTGGAGGCCTTTCTATTAGGGATAACGTCAAATGAAATTAAGAAAGAAGTAAGACCACTTTTTATGTATACAACATCTGCCAGGATTCTGGCTGCAACGAATTGGAAGAGTGAAATTACACCTACAAAGTTAGAATGGCAGTTAAAATGACAGAATACATCCAATTGGCAATAATGACGGGGAGAGTTAGAAGGTACTCAATGCAGAAGGTGAATAAAGAATGGATAATATTTAAAGAATATCTGAAAACCTATTATGATAGCAAAAACCTCCTAACTCTTGTAATGTACAGATAATAAACCCAAGAATATCTCTTTGAATGAAATAAAGGAAACAAAGTATAATAATATGATACTGTGTAAAATTATCAAATGAGATTCTGTTTCTTGAGAAAAATCAGAAGTTTAATTTATCCTTCTTGTTTTCATTCTTTATTTTTATTTTCTTCTTTATTTTTTCTTTATTTTTCATTGTCTTGCTCTTTTTTTGTGTAATGTTTGTGCATAAACTGTAATATGGCAATATTGTTGTGTAAATATGTGTTGAATGTTGAATAAAGATTCATTTGCTCACAAGTGGCTCATAGCTAGGTACAAAATGTGCCTGGTGAATTTTGAATACAGGCTGGGGGGGGGGAGGCATCAAATGTTGGCCTCACTCCCCCTCCCGTGTGACAAGGCAGGGTGGAGCCCGTGGGTTCTGTGTCAAAGTCCTCTTGCAGCCCACTTGGTATGAGAAGTTGGACCACCCTGGTCTAAATATTCTTAAAATGCAGTATTCGGCAAATAGCTACGTTCTCACCCCTGAATGGAAGAAGAACAGGAGATGTCCCTGCAAGCTGCACATGACACGTAGTGTGATCCTCAGCTTCCCATCTGAAAAGCAGTTAGTAGCAGCAGTGAAGATGATAAATGGAAAAGCTAAAAGTTGTCACCCCTCCACCTTTCTAGTGCATTCCCCTTTGAGAATTGGGGGTGCCCCATTCAAGGAGAGTAGCTAAGCTCATGGGGACAAATGTGTTGATGGGTTTGCTTGGAGAGAAGGGAATGTGAGTGGAAGAGAGCAAGCGCAGGCCAGAGGCAGAGGCTGACTTTCAGCTGTCAAGTACAATAACATTAACCTCTTCCCACAGCTCGCCAGACTCATGTTGCTGCTGCGGCTGTCAATACATCAATGTCTGTAATGCACCCTCCTTGGGAGAAAAATGGAGCTTGTTGTGAAACATCTGAAAGATCTTAAACTCGCGCGGGGGGAGGGGAGGTATAACCAAAGAACAGACATTTCTTAAGCTCACAACCTACTGGAAGTCCTCAAGCTGCAGTCATAAATGCACTATTTAGATGTTGCCATAGGAAGGAAGGAAGGAAGGAAGGAAGGAAGGAAGGAAGAGAGTGCAAGGTTGTTCCCTCCAGCCATTTAAATAATAAAAAACTGAATGGATTAATGAACAGTTTTTGTACTGAACCACCCAAACTCATGAGGCTGAAGCCTAGATCCACCAAAAATTGCTGGGTTCTGCCCCACAGCTGATTTCATAATGTTCTAGCAAATTGCATTAACTGTAGCACCTTGTTTTAAGACAATGCACAATACCCAGTGGTTTTTTACTAAAATATGTTTAGGGGTACTCTCATTTTCATACTCATATTGAAATTTTGAACAAGAAAGCTAAAAGTGAGCAGGGGGTGAGGAAATGGAAATGAATAAAAGCAACCACCACATGCACACCACACATCCAGGAAGAATGTGGGGGAGGGGCTTAAAGAGAAGTTTTCACAAATCTAACGAAAAACAAAACAAATGGAATGAAAGCAAATAATTGAAGTAGGTGCCATTTGTTGCAGGCACCAAATAAATGACACAAAAGCCTGCAACTGAACTGAAGGGGAGTGAATGACCCTGAACATTCATGAAAGTTTGCAAATCAAGATTAAAAAATAAATGCAAACTGAAAGGGAAATAGCACAATTAAAACAAATTGATTGAATGCATTGAAGTTTGTTGATGGCACCAAATCAAAGGATCTCTCCAAACTGGAGGTGGTAAATGTGATTCAATGTAAGCAAGGGTAAAGTGAGGTGAATGGGGATAAAAAAATTATAAACTGTGCACACATAACATTTGATAACAGGATCAATGGAGACCAAATATTTCTGAATTTCTATGGAGTCAATGCACAATCTAGATCTATTGCATACTTTCTGCTCCTGGAAAGCACTTCTTGAGAATCTGGATTTGTTCTGAAAACACAAGTTCATTGCAGCTTGATTCTGTGTTACCCCACAGTGCATCCATTTGAAAGCACATGAAAACATATATAGGCAACTCTGGCAAAGTGTGTGTCTGTGTGTGCACACATCCACACCAGCCTAATGAAATTGTGGGTGGGTGTATACCAAGATTGCAACTTCTAACACTTCCTTCTTTATTCATCTGGGGTATGTGCAGGAAGAGAAAAATATAACCTAACCAAGGGGAGGATTTTCAAATGGGTATCATGTAACCACATCAATTTTTGTGGACAGAACGATTTTCAATCAGTTTAGATTTAAAGCAGCATGTTGCAGATGAGCAAGAATGATTCCGGATTAATAAAAGGCATTTTTGTACTATAAACAGGTTAGTGTGTGTGTGTCCCTAATTTCTCATGGGGTCTGAACTGGTGATGACTGACCAGGAATGAGACCTTGTGGTCATAGTGGATGGCTCAATTAAGATGCCATGCTAGGGATAATTAAGAAAGGAATTGAAAATTAAGACTGCCAGCCATCATAATGCCATTATGCAAATCTATGATGTGACCACACATCAAAGAACTCTGTACAGTTCTGGTCCCCTCACCTCAAAGAGGACATTACAGTGGTGGAAAAGGCTCAGAGGAGGGCAACCGAAATAATGAAAGGAGCAAAGTGACTCCTCTACAAGAAAAGGTTACAACATAGGGAATTTTCAGAGAGATATTTCTGGAACTCAGGAGCATACAGTGAAGCTGAATGCTGGAAGATTCAGGCGAGACAAAAGAAAGCATGTCTCCACACACTGTACAGTGACACCATGGATTTCACTCCCACAAGAGCTAGTGGTGGCCACTTTAAAATTCTCTTTAAAAGAGAAGTCCAGGCTAGGGATTCTTAGGAAAGGAACTGAAAATAAAATCCGCCAGGATCATAATGCTGTTACAAATTGTTGCCTCAAAAAGGATATTGTACAGCTAGAAAAAGTGCAGAAAAGGACGATCAAAACAAGGGGGTGGAGCAGTGCCCTGAGGAGTAAAGGGTCCATTGCTTTGGAAAAGAATGTTTAAGTAGGAGCACGAGAAAGGTGTGTGGAATTACGCAGGGCATGGGGAAAGAGGGCAGAGAGGGGCTTCTCTTCCTCTCATCATCTAAGAGCCAGGAGTCATCCAGCCAAACTGAACGGTGGAAGATTCAGGACAGACAAAAGGAATGGAATCGTAAAATTATAAAACTGCAGAGTTGGAAGGGCTTTGCTCCTTCCCACCCCCCATGGCTAAGCCAATGGCAAGGAATATTTATTCATTATTATTACTTTATTTCAATAATTTATATACTGCATTACACTATGGTTTCTAAGTGGTGTACAAAAGAGCCACAAAGGAGAAAAAATATTATTAATAATGAGAGAGAGAGAGAGAGAGAGAGAGAGAGGGAGAGGGAGTGTCTTCATCAGATACCTAAAGTTTGGTTTGCAAGACTGTTTTGCCCAAGGCATGGTCACCTGCTCTATACCCAAAAGCATATATGAAGTCAGCTGTGGGGCGGATAAAGACATAGAGGGGCCAAAAGCAGGTTGCAGGCACCACCAGCCAGCTGATCGTCAACGGATAGTTGGAGTTTGCGCAGTGCCATGTGCTCTGAAGCCCTAAAATCAGCTGGTTGTCAGGGCATGATTATTGGGGCTTCCATCCACACAGTGGATCTGAAAATGGGTACCTTGACAAAATTGTGAGGTCAAGTAGGACCCCCCTCCATCTGCCAGACCTTACCCATGGGCTGGAGGAAATGACCCAGGTCAGTTTCCCCCACTCCCGGCCTCAATATGGCATTAGCTAGCACAGGATGGTTGCCATAGAAGTGGCCAACAAATTGAACAGCTTCAAAAGGGGACCTGGACATATTCAATTGTATGTATGTATTTATTTATTTATTTATTTATTTATTTACTCAATTTCTATACCACCCTTCATCTGAGGAACAAAGGCGGTTTACAATCTAAAACCACAAATATATATAATATAGTAACAAACAAAAACAATACCCCCACCCCCCACCCCAGTTTAAAATTGCTTAATTATGGGAGAAGAGGGATGTTTTTGCCTGGTGAAGGCACCAGGGCAGTCTCCCTGGGGAGAGCATTCCACAAAAGGGGAGCCACTCTAGAAAAGGGCCGTTCTTGGGTTTCCCCCCTCCAGACCCCTCATGGAGGAGGCACACAAAGAAGGGCCTCAGGAGAGGGGATCCTTGAGTTATTGCAGTCCTGAACCATTTAAAGCTTTATAGGTCAACGCCAGCACTTCTATGGAGTATAAAACTTTGATGGCTGCCAGTCATGTTGGCTTTATTACCTCCAGTATCAGATGCAGTATTCAGATACCTCAAGCAGGAGAGCAATACTGTACTCATCCCCTGCATGCAGGATGCTGGGCAAGACGGACTCCTCTAATACTCTTACGTAAGAGATGAAGTGTTTGTCTCCCGTTTACTTTATCTCAGGGAATTCACTGACAGTCATGGAGAACTCAGGCGCCCAGCATAGTCCCATCTCTTCATGGGCAAAAGATGTGTATTTGGATGTGAACTGCCCGTTACTGAGAGAGGGTTGTACTTGTTGTCATTGTTGTTTTCAAAGAGCAGGAGTCTTGATTATGAGGTTGAACAGGTTTGCTCAATTGCTTTCTGGTAACTTTAACATTTGCAACATGAATACTGGAAATTCAGGCAGTGAAGCTTTTCCCAGCATGAAGATGGAAGTGGTGGGGAAAATTTACCTTGCTGAATTCCTGCTTGTCACCCACTCTTAAAGACACAAGAACCCTGTAATTCAAAATTAGCAACCCTGCATGTGAGGCAGCTGTAAAATTAGCAACAGATGCAGCATATTTGGTGGCCAGTCTCTTCCCTGCCACTGATTTGGGGAAGATTTGGGGTGTCTGTCTTGGTTCTTTCGGCCATGGATATCCATGCAACATTTGCCAGTCACCTATGGTCTAAGGCACTAAAGAAGCAGCCTGCTCGGTGATTTAGCCTCGCCAGCACCTTCCAGTCAGTCTTGTACTTCCTTTTATCTGCAAGCTGTCTCTGTCCCTTGGTGAACTGCCACTGATTCTGCAGCCCACTTGCCTTTCATTCAACAATTAAAAAAAAGAGAAATGAGGGAGGAGAAGCCAAATCTATGCTGCTGCTAATCACTCCCATTTATCGCAGCAGCAGCAGCAGCAGCAGCAGCAGCCAGGCAGGGGAAAAACAATCTGTCTGTAACTTGTAGAGCTCACTGTCATTCTTGGGTTTTTTTAGTACTGTATTAATCCTACTCCTCTTATTTTTTTTTAGCTATTTTTTGAAAACCTGCGGTTCACCTACCACCACAGAGACTTCCCAGAAAAGCAGTATGATTTGGGGCCATGTATGCCATCAGCTCTGAAGAAGAGGTGTGAGAGGATTTTGGCATGAGCAGGACTGTCCTTGGCAAATGAGCATATCTCTCTCTCTCTCTCTCTCTCTCTCTCTCTCTCTCTCTCTCTCCTTCAGTCATCCTGGAGAGGCTACACACCAATTAACATCCTGAGAGGAAATCCACTAAAGTGATCGTAATGGAGGGTGACAGTTGAAGAAGGCCCATGCACCCCTCCCTTACCCACCCATTCAGGCCCACTGCCCCACAGAAATTGGTGAGAGGCCAACATCCCCAAATGCCACCACTGAGGAGACTACATTTGACCAAGAGGTCTGCCGCCCTGTTGCAAAGGCCGCCTCACCAGGCAGCTTCCTTGTCACAACCGCAAGCACCCAGCTCCTACCTGTCTCTTAGCGGTCCGCACTGCAGAGGCTGCTTGGGTTGGGCTGGCGCTGGGTGGGCACGGCTCACTGAGGCCCTGGACGACAGAGACTGCGGCCTCCCGGTGCATTGGAGAGCTTGAAGGGTGGCCAGCCTGACCACGGCTCTGTCTACGGCAGCCTCGGGAGCATGCTGCTGAGGTTGGCTTCTCAGCTCTGCAGCTCCTGAAGAAGAGCTGGTGGAGAAGGAGGGAGGTGGGGGGACGACAGAAAGAGAGCAGGGAGAGGATGCTCCCTCAGATGTGTGCACAGAGAATTGAAATGCACAAGAGGACCGGGCAGGATAGCAGAGGCTCACAGCCTGACTCGTTCTCATTATTCCAGCAGACTGACTCCCGCCTGCCTGAGGCTCACTCCCGCAAAATTCAGCCGTTTCAAGTGCACAGTGTTTAGAAGAGGGAGGGTAGGTTCATCCCAGAAGGATCACTGAATTGCATGCAGGGTGTGGGGGTGAGCTGGAGGGTTTCACCTTGCTGTTTGCTGGGGTTTCAAGTCCAGCTTTGCCAGAAAAGCAAAAAGGTACATAAGCAATAGAGATGCTTTGATTTATGTTTCTAGGCTAGCTGTTCCATGGCTGCTGGATTATCCCTTTGTGTGAGCAGGAGGAGGAATTCACAACGTGCTTCTCCTCAGAACAGCCGGGAGAATAATCTGGGCTGCATGGATGCTCCAGACTAGTGCATGCTGTCAGCACCGGCCTCAGGCATCTAATTAAAACAGTGTTTCATAGGAATCTGGCCTTATATTGAAGCAGAATATTGTCTATATGACCCAGATTTGTCTGTTTCAGCTAGCAGCTCCAAGGTCTCCAGCAGGGGTCTGCCTAGCCCAGTGGTTCTCAAACTGTTTTCTCTTCACCACACTTTCAGAATAAAAATTTGCTTGCACCAAAAATTTAATTGATAAGAAATACATTGGAAAACAAAAAAGAAATGATCCTAGCAGTGCTTGATTTATAACACTGAACACAACTACTTTATAATATGATCATGGGGCATCCAGAAAGTAGGAAACAATGCAGCTACATAAAAACATGCATCATTCCCAAAATATAAACGAGCCTCTAACATACAGTGAGGGGGGAAAGTATTTGATCCCCTGCTAAATTTGCCCGTTTGCCCTCTGACGAAGAAATGACCAGTCCATAATTTTAATGGTAGGTTTACTGTAGCTGTGAGAAACAAAATAACAACAGGGAAAACCCCCAGAAGACAAAAGTCAGATATTGATGTGCATTATAATGAGTGAAATAAGTATTTGATCCCTTTGCAAAAGATGACTTGGTGGCAAAACCCTTGTTGGCAATTACAGACGTTTCTTGTAGGTGGCCACCAGGTTTGCACACATCTCAGGAGGTATTTTGTCCCACTCCTCTTTGCAGATCTTCTCCAAGTCAGGAAGATTTCGAGGCTGATGTGTAGCTACTCAAACCTTCAGCTCCTTCCACAGATTTTCGATGGGATTAAGGTCTGGAGACTGGCTAGGCCACTCTAGGACCTTAATGTGCTTCTTCCTGAGCCACTCCTTTGTTGCCTTGGCCGTGTGTTGGGGGTCATTGTCATGCTGGAATACCCATCCTTGACCCATTTTCAATGCCCTGGCTAAGGGAAGGATGTGCTCACTCAAGATTTGACGATACATGGACCCGTCCATCGTCCCTTCGATGTGGTGAAGGTGTCCTGTCCCCTTAGCAGAAAAACACCCCCAAAGCATAATATGTCCCCCTCCATGTTTGACGGTGGGGATGGTGTTCTTGGGGGCGTAGGCAGCATTCTTCCTCCGCCAAACACGATGAGTTGAGTTGATGCCAAAGAGCTTGATTTTGGTCTCATCTGACCACAACACTTTCACCCACTTCTCCTCTGGGTCATTCAGATGGGCATTGGCAAACTGCAGACGGGCCTGAACATGTGCTGCTTGAGCAAGGGGGCCTTGCGGGCTCTGCAAGATCTCAGTCCTTCACGGCGTAGAGTGTTACCAACTGTTTTCAGGGTGACTATGGTCCCAGCAGAGACAGCACCTTGCCAACAAAGGTCCATATAGTTAAAGCTATGGTTTTCCCAGTAGTGATGTACGGAAGTGAGAGCTGGACCATAAAGAAGGCTGATCGCCAAAGAATTGATGCTTTTGAATTATGGTGCTGGAGGAGACTCTTGAGAGTCCCATGGACTGCAAGAAGATCAAACCTATCTATTTTTAAGGAAATCAGCCCTGAGTGCTCACTGGAAGGACAGATCCTGAAGCTGAGACTCCAATACTTTGGCCACCTCTTGAGAAGAGAAGACTCCCTGGAAAAGACCCTGATGTTGGGAAAGGTTGAGGGCACAAGAAGAAGGGGACGACAGAGGACGAGATGGTTGGACAGTGTTCTCGAAGCTACAAACATCTGTCTCCCCGGGGCTAAGATCCAAGATGTAACTGAACGACTGCAAGGAATCATAAAACCCACTGACAAATACCCCTTCCTCTTGGTTCATGTGGGAACCAATGACACTGCAAGCAATAGCCTCCAGAAGATCAAAAGAGACTACGAGGCTCTGGGCAGGAAATTGAAGCAATTAAATGCACAAATTGTCATCTCATCTGTCCTCCCAGTTGAACGATGTGGCCCAGGGAGAGAGGGGAAAATAGTGGAAGTGAACAGCTGGCTTCGCAAATGGTGTAAACAGGAACGGTTTGGATTCTTAGATCACGGACTGCAGTTTCTTGAAGATGGACTTCTGGCAAGCGATGGGCTGCACCTCACAACGGTTGGGAGAAATGTTTTTGCCAAAAATCTCAGAAACCTCATCAGGAGGGCTTTAAACTGACTAATGTGGGGAGGGAGACAGTGCTCCTGAAGGTAGGAGTCTATCAATTGATGAAGATGATCATCCAAATGTCATAGACCAAATGGAGCAAACAGCACGCAGACCTAGTGGTGGGAGGAAAAAATCCTTAAATAAGAGACACGGGGAATGATTAATGGACTTCAATGTCTGTACACTAATGAGCAAAGCATGGGAAATAAACAAGATGAGCTTGAGCTCTTGGTACAGCAAACTAAATATGACATAATAGGCATCACTGAAACCTGGTGGGATAAGTCCCACGATTGGAATGTAATAATGGGGGATACAATCTATTTCAGAGAAACAGACCAGACAAGAAAGGAGGAGGAGTGGCGTTATATGTCAGGGATGTGTATACCTGTGAAGAGATCCAAGATTTAGAACCTCAAAGCCAAAGTGAGAGCATTTGGGTCAAAATTAAGGGAGAGAAGAATAACAGTGACCTCATTGTGGGAGTTTACTATAGATCCCCAAGCCAAACGGAGGACATAGATGATGCCTTCCTGGAACAGATGGCCAAGCATGCAAAAGGAAGGGAGATAGTAGTAATGGGGGACTTCAATTACCCGGATATTTGTTGGATGTCAAACTCAGCCAAGAGCATAAGGTCAAACAGATTCCTCACTGGCCTTGCAGACAACTTCATTGTCCAGAAAGTGGAAGAAGGAAGGAATAAAAGCAATTTACTCACAACAAAGTGCTAAATTAATTATTAATAATAATTTAACAGAACCCTTTGAAATCTCGAAGGGTACTAGGCAGGGGTGCCCTCTGTCACCTCTTCTGTTTATTATGATGTTAGAGATAATTACAAATAAGATAAGAAAAACTTCAGAGATACGCGGAATAAAAATAGGAGTGAAAGAATACAAATTGAAAGCTTATGCTGGCGACCTTATGTTGTCTTTGGAGGATCCAGAAGAGAGTGTCAGTAAGGTGTTAGATCTGTTAGAAGAATTCGGAAAACTATCCGGTTTTAAATTAAACAGAACAAAAACTAAAATGTTGATTAAAAATGTAGAAGAGAAGGTAAAAACCACCTTGAATCTCAGACTGGAATTAAAGTAACCAAAAAAGTAAAATACCTTGGAATCTGGTTAACGACAAAGAACATTAATTTGATGGAAGATAATTATACAACCGCATGGAAAGAAATAAGGAAGGACTTAGATACCTGGAATAGAATAAAGCTATCCTGGTCGGGGAGAATGGCGGCAATAAAAATGAGTCTATTACCGAAACTGCTATTCTTATTTCAGAATATACCAATAATCTGGAAGACACAAGATCTACCCACTTTGGAAGAATGGCAGATGAAGGTGATTGACTACATGGAATTGGCGGAAATGACTGGCAGAATCCAAGATCTAGGAGTCTTGGTTGACCACAAACTTGACATGAGCCAACAGTGTGACGCGGCAGCTAAAAAAGCCAATGCAATTCTGGGCTGCATCAATAGGAGTATAGCATCTAGATCAAGGGAAGTAATAGTGCCACTGTATTCTGCTCTGGTCAGACCTCACCTGGAGTACTGTGTCCAGTTCTGGGCACCACAGTTCAAGAAGGACACTGACAAACTGGAACGTGTCCAGAGGAGGGCAACCAAAATGGTCAAAGGCCTGGAAACGCTGCCTTATGAGGAACGGCTAAGAGAGCTGGGCATGTTTAGCCTGGAGAAGAGGAGGTTAAGGGGTGATATGATAGCCATGTTCAAATATATAAAAGGATGTCACATAGAGGAGGGAGAAAGGTTGTTTTCTGCTGCTCCAGAGAAGCGGACACGGAGCAATGGATCCAAACTACAAGAAAGAAGATTCCACCTAAACATTAGGAAGAACTTCCTGACAGTAAGAGCTGTTTGACAGTGGAATTTGCTGCCAAGGAGTGTGGTGGAGTCTCCTTCTTTGGAGGTCTTTAAGCAGAGGCTTGACAACCATATGTCAGGAGTGCTCTGATGGTGTTTCCTGCTTGGCAGGGGGTTGGACTCGATGGCCCTTGTGGTCTCTTCCAACTCTATGATTCTATGATTCTATGAGACCAGGGAGAAGAGTCGGTGAAAGAAGACTGGAAGAAATTTAAAGACTATTTACAGAAATATTGCAAAATTAAGGAATTTTAGAAGGATGTTGGATAGAAACTAAGAGGTTTTTAGCTGTAATGCTTTAAGAGATATGAAAAAAGGTTAACAATTGGGTAAAAGTTTAATGGTAAGGATTTGCTGAACTAACAAACTGAACTGGAATACAAAGAAGGGAGGTATGAGGAGGTCCGGGGAAATAAGTGTAGGGAAGATAGGTTTGGAAAATCAATGTCCTTTTAACTGTTTTATTTTGTATGTTTCCTTTTTATTCTCTATTTTTTGTTATATTTTGTACTCTGTATATTCTTTTTTTTTTGTACTCTGTATATTTTTCTTTTTTTCTTTTTTTTGTATTTCTTGAAACTTTAATAAATATCTTAAAAAAAAAAAAAAGAATATACCAATAATCAGGGGAACATCAATATTCAAGGACTGGCAGAAAATACTTTCTAAATTCATCTGGCAAGGAAAAAGGCCGAGAATTAGATTCAAATTACTCACAGACCAAAGAGATAGAGGAGGATTCGCAGTCCCAAATTTAAAGTTATATTATGAAGCCTCATGCCTCTGTTGGGTCAAGGATTGGATAAAAAATAAAGATCTGCTAGATTTAGAAGGATTTGATTTAAGATTCGGTTGGCACGCTTACCTATGGCGTAATAAGGGAAAGATCCATAAAGGATTTTCTAGCCATATCTTCAGAGGGCCATTACTGGAGGTGTGGGAAAGAAATAAAAAATTATTGGAACAGAATACCCCTTGGTGGCTTTCGCCAATCGATATCCTGACAATAAAAAAAAAAATATCGAAGGAGAAAGATGGACCTACGAAGATTTATTAGTAAAAACAGAGACCGGTTGGAGGATTAGGCCATATGAAGAAATAAAGAACAAATTGACAGGTTGGATCCAATTTCATCAAATCAACTCTATCTGGACCGAGGATAAAAAAAATGGGATAAGTGAGAAAAAAATCTAGATTCCAGATTGAAATATTAGAAAGTAAAACAAAACTCCTATCGAAAATGTATAGCCTGTTGCTCGAATGGGACACCAAAGATGAAGAAGTAAAGGAGGTAATGGTGACATGGGCAATGGACTTTGGGTATAACATAGAGTTTGATAAATGGCAGGCACTATGGAATAAAGGTATGAGATTCTCGGCATGCACAACACTCAGGGAAAATATGTACAAAATGATGTACAGGTGGTACGTAACGCCCGTAAAACTGGAAAAAATATATAAAACTGGTGATAAATTATGCTGGAAGTGCAAGATTAAGGAGGGCGATTTTTATCATATGTGGTGGTTGTGCGAGCCTATTAGAAAATTTTGGGAATCTATTTACAATGAACTAAAAAAAATCTTTAAATATACCTTTATAAAAAGACCTGAAGCCTTTTTGCTGGGGATAATTGGAGAGGAAATCAAAAAGAAAGATCAAACACTCTTTCAGTACACGACAGTGGCCGCCAGAACTCTAATAGCGCAGAATTGGAAGACACCAAGAATCCCAACCATAAATGAATGGCAATCGAAACTACTCGACTATCTAGAATTGGCAAAAATGACACAGAAAATAAGAAATCAAAAAGACACAAAGTTTAATAAAGATTGGAATAAATTCATGGCATACATGGAAACAGAGGTAAAAAAAACTAAAAAACACAGTAGGTGTGATATAACACTTGTGATGTAAAGAATTTTTTTTTGAGGAAAAGAAATTGCAGATAGAAAAATTTTATAACACATTCTGAAACCGAGATGAAGGGAAGTCAGTCAGTGTTGTGTGTTATGTAGTTAATGTAGTTAATTTGTTGTTGTCTTATGTCAGGAGTATATATATATATATTTCTTTATTTAGTTTTTTTTGGTGTGAATGTGTTGTGTTTGTCTTCTTTGTTTGTATGGTGTTATAAAATAAAATTTATTAATAAATAAATAAATAAATAAATAAATAAATAAATAAATAAATAAACAAACAGAAAGTGGGAGAAGCAACAAGAGGAACAGCCATTTTAGATCTGGTCCTAACCAATGTTGATGACCTGGTTAGTGGGGTAGAAGTGGAAGGATCATTAGGCGCGAGTGATCATGCTCTTCTGAAGTTTACTATACAGCGGAAAGGAGCAGCCAAGCATACTAGGACTCAATTTCTTGACTTTAAGAAAGCCGACTTCATAAAACTTAGGGAAGTGCTGGGTGAGATCCCATGGACAGTAATACTAAAAGGAAAGGGAGTTCATGATGGCTGGGAGTTTATTAAGAGGGAGATAGTAAAAGCACAACGTCAGGCAATACCAATGAGACGGAAACATGGAAGGTGCCTAAAGAAGCCAGGGTGGCTATCTAAAGAACTTTTAACTGAGTTAAGATTAAAAAGGATGTGTACAAAAATGGAAAAGGGGGAAACCACCAAAGAGGAATTCAAACAAATAGCCAGCACGTGTAGACACAAAGTCAGAAAAGCTAAAGCACAGAATGAACTCAGGCTTGCTAGAGAGGTTAAAAGCAACAAAAAGGCTTTTATGGGTATGTTCGTAGCAAAAGGAAGAACAAAGAAACAGTGGGGTCACTCAGAGGAGAAGATGGTGAAATGCAAACAGGGGACACAGAAAGGGCTGAACTCCTCCATGCCTTCTTTGCCTCAGTCTTCTCCGATAAAGAAAACAATGCCCGACCTGAAGAATTTGGAGCAAATGATTCAGCAAAGGAAACACAGCCCAGAATAACTAAGGAGATAGTACAAGAATACTTGGCTAGTCTAGATGTATTCAAGTCTCCAGGGCCAGATGAACTGCATCCAAGAGTATTAAAAGAACTGGCAGATGTGATCTCAGAACCACTGGCAGTCATCTTTGAGAATTCCTGGAGAACAGGCGAAGTCCCGGCAGACTGGAGGAGGGCAAATGTTGTCCCTATTTTCAAAAAGGGGAAAAGAGAGGACCCAAATAATTACCGCCCAGTCAGTCTGACATCAATACCAGGGAAGATTCTGGAGCAGATCATTAAGCAAACAGTCTGTGAGCACCTAGAAAGGAATGCTGTGATCACCAATAGTCAGCATGGATTTCTGAAAAATAAGTCATGTCAGACTAACCTGATCTCGTTTTTGACAGAATTACAAGCCTGGTAGATGAAGGGAACGCAGTGGATGTAGCCTACCTTGATTTCAGCAAGGCATTGGACAAGGTGCCCCATGATATTCTTGTAAAGAAGCTGGTAAAATGCGGTCTTGACTATGCTACCACTCAGTGGATTTGTAACTGGCTGACTGACCGAACCCAAAGGGTGCTCATCAATGGTTCCTCTTCATCCTGGAGAAGGGTGACTAGTGGGGTGCCACAGGGTTCTGTCTTGGGCCCGGTCTTATTCAACATCTTTATCAACAACTTGGATGATGGACTCAAGGGCATCCTGATCAAATTTGCAGATGACACCAAACTGGGAGGGGTGGCTAACACCCCAGAGGACAGGATCACACTTCAAAACGACCTTGACAGATTAGAGAACTGGGCCAAAACAAACAAGATGAATTTGAACAGGGAGAAATGTAAAGTATTGCACTTGGGCAAAAAAAATGAGAGGCACAAATACAAGATGGCTGACACCTGGCTTGAGAGCAGTATATGTGAAAAGGATCTAGGAGTCTTGGTTGACCACAAACTTGACATGAGCCAACAGTGTGACGCGGCAGCTAAAAAAGCCAATGCAATTCTGGGCCTCATCAATAGGAGTATAGCATCTAGATCAAGGGAAGTAATAGTGCCACTGTATTCTGCTCTGGTCAGACCTCACCTGGAGTACTGTGTCCAGTTCTGGGCACCACAGTTCAAGAAGGACACTGACAAACTGGAACGTGTCCAGAGGAGGGCAACCAAAATGGTCAAAGGCCTGGAAACG